AGCCAGGGAGTGATGGATGAGCCAGAATAAGCTACAGTCCACCTTGAATGGGAGGAGACCCCAGGACAAACAATCTGAGTGGAAGTGGATTATTTTCCTTGAGAGATGCATAACTAACTACCAACATGTAACCTGGCTGTCCTGGAACCAGCTCTGTAGACCAGGTCAGCCTTGAACTCACAGAGATCACCCTACCCTGCCCCTGCTCCTGCCTCCTGAGTGCTGGGATTAAAGGTGTGCACCACCGTGCCTGGCTCTTACCCCACCTCTAAAGTACTCTTGGTGGGAATATAGAGCTCAGTGGTAGAGAGCTTACCCAGCATGTCCAAGGCCCTGAGTTTGATTTCCAGAACCACCAAACACAGGATAGCAGAGAAGGGAGGGAAAGAGGAGAGAAAAGAATGAACAGAAAGAAATGAATAAGTCAATAAATCGTCTTCATGGCAAAAACCAGGGCTCAGCCTTGTCACTCCAGCAGACAGCATGCCCTACCCATTGCTGTTGTTTGAAAATGTCATTCTTAAACAGTCATTGAAATGAGGGATGAAAGAAGAGGAAGAGCAAGAAGAAGAGGAGAAGATTAATAATAGAGCATTGGGCCAAAGTTACGCTTTAGAGCTGTGAGTTGTCTTTATGAGTGAAGACGTAGTGAGCTTTAAAAGTCAGAAAAGGCATAAAGGAAAGCAAGGGCAGGGCTAGGAGGCACCACGGGAGAATCCACTGATCCCACGCTTCCACTTTGCTATCTACTGGGGACAAGCAGCTCCTTATCCTTCCAATGCCGCAGGGGCGGCGGGGAGCTGCTCTGGGCAGCCATCCCATGGATTCTGCCAGACTATTACTTTTAGTCCTTGGAAGTCAGAACAAGATTCGTGAACAGAGCAGGCCAGACTCAGTTCTTAAATAACTGAACCATATAAAGCAAGATGGTGCATGCCTATAATCTCAACACGCATGAAGCTGAGGCAGGAAGATTACTAGGAGGCCAAGGCCAAGTCTTACACAGCAAGACACTGTCAAGGAGGAGGAAGAGGAGGAGAAGAGGAAGGAAGATAGTCAACAACAACAAAACCCTCTTTAGGGTTGGGGATTTAGCGCAGTGGTTGAGTGCTTGCTAGGGCCCTGCATTCAGTCCTCAGCTCTGGAAAAGAATGAACGAGTGAGATTTAGGGCCAAGCTCCAGGTGAGGGTCCTCCAGTGATTCTGTCAGACGCATGTCAGTGTCTGCTGGCATTCCTCTTGCTTTAGCTTCACCACCTCCAGCCTAAGCCCCTCCGTGTGCCATCTCTGAGAAGTGTCTTTTGTGTGTCCTCTTGTCTTACCTTGAAGAACCAGAACCCACATCCTGGAATGAAACGGAAAGATACTCTCATCTCCAAACCCCAAGTCCCCTCCAGCTCTCTTGGGCTTAGAATCGATTCCCTTCTATGAAAAATTTCGTTCCCTCAAAAGTCTGTGTTGGCTGAATCTGAATTTTAAAAAGAGGAGAAACTATTTATTCCTTTACTGCCCACCCTGACACCACCTTCTGCCTAGGTCCTGCTGGTGATGTGCATTTGTTTAAGTATACGTACCATAACATTTACCATTTTAACCCATTGTTGATTTTTTTTATTCAGGGTTTCTCTGTGTAGCTTTGGAGGCTGTCCTGGAACTCGCTCTGTAGATCAGGCTGGCCTTGAACTCACAGAGATCCACCTGCCTCCCAAGTGCCAGTATTAAAGGCATGCGCCACCACCATCCCCCTGTTGATCTTTTTTTAAGGGATGTTGTGCCTATACTTGCTTAATTAAATGAGGTGACCTTTCTCTAAAGAGGTTGGAATGGTGGGTGGGGTGGGAATAAACAGAATTCAAAGACCTCGTAGATCTCAGGAGAGCATAAGCTGGCCCAGGGCAAGGAGGGAGCCTCCTCAGTATGTGGGCAGGGCCGAGCTAAACCAGGCTTCCCGGAAGGACCAAGAGCTCTAAGCACTCGGCCTTACCTCCTGGCCTTTATCCCCAGGCTTCCCCCAAACCAAAACTGCTGAACTCAAGCATTTGTCCCATCTCCCAAACAAGGGCTCTTAGGTCCCAGGTTTCTAGTGGGTGTTGCATGATTTTCCGCCCCCTGGGGAGACATAATGTCTATACAGCCAGCTAGAGAAGGCACTGACACACCAAAATCCAACTTGGTGAATCAGAGCCTTTATTGGGATTCCAGGAAATTGGGTATGTTCCAGACAGCTGCACCACTGAGGCAACCCGTCCCAGTCAGCTGTTTCCTCACAGACTGGTGATTGGAATCTTGGGAATGGGGTTATAGGGAGGCGTGGGGAAGGGTGAAGGCCTGATGAACATCATAACTCCCTTCTCCCTCCATGAGGGATTGTTACTAGACTCCCATCCCTCCTGTGGGTCTTGTGAAGGTCATCACAGATGCTCTGAGTGGTGATGCTCATGTCCAAGCTGGAGGGAACAGCTTCCCTCCAGTAGGGAGAATGAGTGTCTGAGAATCTGTCTGGAAGACATACAGCCTAACTATGAAGAACAGGATGCTACATCTTTAGAATACACTGGCTGACTGCGGAGGTGGCTCAGCAGGTAAAGTGCTTGCTACACAGGCATAAGATCCTGAGTTTGCATCCCCAGCACCCACATGAATGACAACCGGGCCTGTGATGCCACCACTTGGTTGAGGAAACGAGCAACTCCCAGCAAAAACTGGCTACCTAAACTAGCTAAGTTGGTGAGCTGTGGGTTTATCCAAAGACCATTCCTCAATGTGTAAGGTAGAAAGTGATCCCCTGATGGCTCCATATTTATGTATACACATGTGTACCCACACCTGCGTACATATGTGTGCCTTCACAGAAACATTCATGCATGGAAAGTATACACACAAAAATAAATCCCCTGACCCCAGACTTCGTTTTTCTTTCAAATGTCCACCCTGGAGCTGAAAACTAAGGTGTAAAAAACCTGAACATGGCAATTCATGGATGTAATTCAAGTACTTGATGGGGGAAGGCATGAGCATCAGAAGTTCAAGGCCATTCTTAGCTGCACAGTGAGTTTGACACCAGCATGGGCTACATGGAACCCTGTCTCAAAAAATGAGGAAAGAAAGGAGGCTAGAGATACAGCTCAGGGGTTAAGAGCACTGGCTGCTCTTCCAGAGGACCCAGGTCTGGTTCCCAGCACCCACGGGGCTGCTCACAACCATCTTTTTTCTAGCTCCAGGGCATCTGTTGCCCTCTTCCGGCTTCCCTGGGCACCAGGCTTATATGTGGCACACAGAAACTCATCCACACACATAATTTATTTTAATTTAAAAGGAGCGAAAGGGGAGAGTGTGGAGGTGAGATGACCAGTGGGTAAAGGTGCCTGTGGCATGAGCCCCATGACCTGAGTTTAATCCTCAGAGCCCACATGAAGGTGAAAAGAGAGAAACGGTTCCACAAAGTTGTCTCCTGGCCTCCATGTGTGTACACTCACACATTATACACGTGCATGCATAATTTATTTTAACGTAGGAACTGCCACACAAGCTTAAATAACTTCCTGGTCAGTCTGCTCAGCTCTCCTGGCCTCAGTCTGAAAGCAAGGGAGATGCTTGGTGAGGTTGGCCTGGTGGCTCTGCCATTTCCAGGGCTCCCATAGCTGGCTTGCTGAGCCGAGCAAGGACCCAATAAGCACGGTGCTATGACCAGCTACTGGGCGGTCCTGGTGATCCCTTAGGCCTCCCCAAACTTGAGTGTGACAAAACTGTCCCTTTTGTTCCCCATTGGTAGCCTCAAGTCAGGAATATTTTATCTGGCAGGTGATCCCAGGGGAAATTCTATCCCTTGAAAGAGGGTTCCCCAGAGGAACACAGGAACATGAGAGCTGGAGCTCTCTGAAGATGATGGATAGGCTTGGTGGCCTGGAATTCCCTGGCACACAGTGTGAAATAAAATATTAAAATCCAACCATATTCTCACTCATGACGAGGAGCACCGAAAATTGGAAAAATCCTTTGGGAAAATGGTTTGTAATATATGTATCAAGAATCTTAAAAACATTCATGCTTTTGATTTTGTGATTTTCCTTTATTTATGAAATGGTTCCAAATGGATTTTAGTGTGGCATCATTTGCAATAGTGAAAAATTGAAAACATCCTGAATGTCAACCTGAAGGATTGCAAAGTTATTTTACCTCTCCCTGTGGATATTTATGCAGCCATTAAACTGATAGTAGCAAAGGCAATTTTAGAGTATGGAGAACTAATTATGTTGTGGTACTAATTTGCATGTATGTGTATGTGTACACATATATGTGTATGTGTGCATGGCTGCGCATGTGGATGCTGGAGGCTGATGTCAGGTTTCTTGTGTCACTCTTCACTGAACCTGGAGCCCCCAGAGCCCCGCTGTCTTCCCTTTTCAGGCCTTGGTTGCAGGCATGTGCTGCCATGCCTTGCTTTTCATGTGGGTACTGGGGATCCAACCTTAGGTCCTCACACTCGCACAGCAAGTGAGCACTTCACCCATGGGGCCATCTCCAGTCCCCTGATACTAATTCTTAAAAATACAGAATAAGCCAGGTATGGCAGCACGTGCCAGTAATCCTAGCACGCTGTTGATGGATATGAGTGGATCCTGGGTTTGAGGTCAGCCTGGGCTACAGAGTAAGGTTCAGACTAGTCTAATCTACAGAGCAAGAGCCTATCTCAATAAACCAATAACCAAAATAAAATAACATGCAGAATAGGTCTGCCACGAGCAGTGGTAGCACACACCTTTAATCCTAGCACCCAGGAGGCAAAAGCAGGTGGATCTCTGTAAATTCAAAGTCAGCCTGGTCTACAGAATGAGTTCCAAGACAGGCTCCAAAGCTTCAGAGAAACCCTGTCTCATAAAACCAAAAAAAAAAAAAGAATAGGCCTGGTAGGAGGCCTGAGTTTGGTGCCAGCCTGTCTCAATAAAACAATAGTAACAATGGCAATCAGAATAGGAGATACCATGTGCTTTTCTTTTTAGGTTTTTTTAAATGTGTGTGTGCATGGGCATGCATGTGTATCCATGTGCCTGTGAAGGCTGGAAGACGATGTTGGATCCCCAGGAGCTGGAGTTACAGAAGTTACTGAACCACCAATGAATGTGAGTTCTGGGAACCAAACACTGGTCTTCTGCAAGAGCAGCAGACATGCTTGACCACTGAGAAATCCGGCCCATCCATGTTTTTCTTTAAATGTGCTATGCATGTGTATTACTTTGTACTTTCTGGTTATAGAAACAAAATTCAACTGAAGTTAGTTTACCCAAACAAGGAACTAGTCTATAAGGACACTAGAATTTCTTTAGAGCTTTCTTTTTCTTCTATTTGTGGTATTGGGGGTTTTACCCAGGATTTTGCGCATACTTAAGTGCTCTACCACAAAGCAACACCCCCTCACCCGAACACTACTATGGTTTTGCAGTGAAGTGCTGAAAAGCAGGACAGCTCTGGAAAGAGCCTGACCTGGTGAGCTCTTCCCAACTCCCCTTTACACGAGCTTTGCTCTGCGTCCCTGTCCACAGGCCTCTCTGTTAATCCCAGTTCTCAGGGAAACTGCCCAGCTCTGTTTGATCCAAGCATATAACCAGAGAGGTGGGACCACACAGAATCAGCCCATCCGGTGCCCTCTTCCAGCTTGAAGAGAAGAGGAAATTCCAGAGAAGTACTAGCTGTGGTGTGCACAAAAGACCAATATACGAGACAGTAACAGGTACTACCTCAAAGTGGCAAGATAAAAGTAATTTTTAAAAGCTGAGCATTGGTGCCAGAGGGATGACTCAGTGGTTAAAAGCACTGGCTGCTCTTCCAGAGGTCCCAGGTTTGATTCCCAGCATCCACATGGTGATTCATAACTGTCTACTCCAGTCCTAGGGAATCCAGTCCCCTCTTCCGGCCTCTGCAGACATCAGGCACAAATGTGGCTCATAGATTTAGATGCAGACCAAGCACCCATGGACATGGAACGGAGGGAAGGAGGGAGGAAGGGAGGGAAAGTTCAAATACACATTAATGACTTTATAGGAGGAAACTGCATTGGATTGCCACAGCTATTGGAAGGTACATTCGACTTGGAGTCAGCAGCACACCTCTATTTTGGTTCTCCAAATGACAGATAACATAAATACTAAGGCCTGGGCCTACAAGATGGCTCAGCTAGTAAAGGGACTTGCTACCAAGCTGGATGGCCTGAGTTTAACTCCTAGGACCTATAAGGTAGGAGAAGAGAACTGACTCCTGCAAGCTGTCCTCTGACCTGAACAGAGGACATGTGTATGTGTGTGCGTGCGTGCATGCGTGCGTGTGATTTTAAAGATACCAAGGTTTTCTAGTGCTGTGTTTGGTAGTGGACTGGGTAATTGAAAAAGACAGTGCACATAGTGGCACATGCATGTAGTCTCACTACTTGGGGCTGAGGCAGAATGATCATTGTGTATTTTTAGCCAGGCTGCTGGGATATAAAGCAATACCAAGCCAGTTAGACCTACCTATCTAGAACCTGTCTCAAAAAACAAACAAAAAGCAAAACAAAGCAAAAACAAAAAAACGCTGGGCATGGTGGTGCATAATACCCACACTTGGGAGGATCTCTGTGAGTTTGAGGTCAGCCTGGTCTACACAGCAAGTTCCAGGACAGCCAGGACTACACAGAGAAACCCTGTCCCCACCCAAAAAAGGAAAAAGAAAGAACACAAAACAAATCCCACCTCTTTTTTTTTTTTTTTTTGGTTTTACGAGACAGGGTTTCTCTGTATTGTTTTGGAGGCTGTCGGTCCTCGAACTCACAGAGATCTGCCTGCCTCTGCCTCCAGAGTGCTGGGGTTAAAGGCGTGCACCACCAACACCTGGCTCAAATCCCACCTCTTACTTACATGACAACCTGAGTTCCTAGACCTCAGATCTGACATGGGACTGCAAGTGCACATAGGCATGCATACATGCATGTGTGTGCGTGAATGCACGTGTGTCTGTGTGTGCGTGAATGCACGTGTCTTCCCACCCCCCAAGTACTCTGCACAAGAGAAGTATGCACTTCCTTCTGCATCCCTGCCAGTGTGTAGCCCAGCACTGGTCAGAGTGGGCAATGTGTTGATGTTGTTTGAATTGAGTGTTTTATAAGAGGAAAACCACGGGAGACTGGACACTTGTACTAGTAAGAGAAGCCTCCCTGAGCCAGGGGCTCTCTGCCCTCACCCCAGACTTAGACTTTATAAACCTCCAGCCTCAATGTTCCCCTGACCTTTGTAAGAGCCCCAAACATTGGAGACTTTCCTCCTTTCCCTGATTTTCCCTCCAGCTCTTCTTCAGAGACATTACCCCACAAAAAGTCTGTCTTTCCCTGTAAATGGGACCACCCAAAGACCTTCCTATGCCCCAGCCAGTTGCTTAGCTCTGAAGGGAGATGGGGAACAAAAGCAAGAGATAAGGCTTCTAGCAGTGGGAACTCAGTGAAGCTAATATGATTTTTGTTTTGGTTTGTGGTTTCTGGTGGTGGTGGTGGTGATTTGGGTTTTTTGTTTTGTTTTATTTTTTTGTTTTTTGGTTTTTTGTTTTTTTTTTGATACCTTTCCCTCTTAAACATCTCTTAATATTTCTTCTAGTAATACCCACTGCCAAGAGTTGTCTGTGTGGACAGTTATAGACCTGAACAAGGAGACTAAATGGACCGGAGAGATGGCTCAGAGGTTAAGAGCACTGACTGCTCTTCCAGAGGTCCTGAGTTCAATTCCCAGCAACCCCATGGTGGCTCACAACCATCTACAATTCAATCTGGTGCCCTCTTCTGGAGTGTAGACAGAACACTGTATATGTAATAAATAAACCTTTAAAAAAAAACAAGGAGACTAAAGCCACAGGTAGCTGTTGATCTGCTCTTTGGACAAATTGTGACAAGGACAGAGCTGGCTCTCTCCCATCAATACACCTACCTGTCAGAGAGAGTGGCCTGAGCCAAGGCCTCCCCTGATTTTCTATTTCTTATCAGCATTATCTCTGCTGAACCCAATGTCCTGATATTTTGTCTCTCTTCCTTTCTGATTTCACCCAAGGATACATGACTCTGTTCCAGAGGCAGCCGTTAGCATTCCCAACTCAGAACCTCTTTCTCCAGCTCCCTCTAAAGCTGGAGGAAAATTCGTTATGTGCTCTGTGAAGAAAGGTCAGATGGTGTTGCTATGTGCATCTTACTTCATTCTTCTTTAAGTTCATTTTGGTTCCCTTGTTCCTGAGAATTGCTGCTTGGAGATGAAGACAGAGGTTACAGTTCCCTGGGAGAAACTGAAGTGCTTGCTCCACCTGAACCGACCACGCTCAGTTCACAGAACATGCCCAGCATGCTCAGCACCTCGGAGAGCGCCTTCCATCCCTGAGCGGTCACACCGCTGAAAGGTGAAGTGTCAGCCAGCGTGATGTCCACTCTGACAGCTGCCACATCCTTTCCTTGGTGCTCACCTCTTTTTTTGTCCTTACAAGGCCTTTGGGATGAACTCCTCCAACTTCCCACTGACCTTTCTCACCCCAAAGGATCTGCATCTCCCCACATCAGCACCCCTGGCCCTTTCTGTAAAGAGCTCCCCTGGCTTTCTGCTCTAGGCTCCTCACTATACCCCATTACAATCTCTTTTTAGATACCTAACTCTTTCCTTTTACTGTAGGACAGTTGCCGTGTGTCCCCCAGCTCTAACCCTACAAATTTGAAGTTGTCATGCTTTCTTGTTTCTTCCCTTCTCCCATGAAGCTCCTTTGAAAGATCTACCACTGCCTCAGCTCCAGTGTCCTGCTCCCTCCAAACCCCTTCTAGCCTGACCTCTGTTCCTGTCCTTCAACTAAACCATGTATCCATTTCAATTTATAGTTGAAGAAACCAAATTACACCACTAGTATGGCTGAGCTGGGATCTGAGCCCAGGGACACTGCCTCTAGAGTCTTGTGTGTGTGTGTGTGTGTGTGTGTGTGTGTGTGTGTGTGTGTGTGTGTGTGTGTGTGTGTGTGTGTAAGAGAGAGAGACAGAGGCAGAGACTAAGAGAGAGTAGACAACTTTTGGGAGATGGTTCTCTCCTTCCACTGTGGGTTCCAAGAATGGAACTCGGGTTGTCAGAACCTCTTGCTAGCACTTTTGCCTGCTAAACCATCTCACTGGCGCCATGGCCTAACCCTTTTGCCACCACAGTGTCGTTTTCAGTCCGTGTGGCGGGGGCGGGACTGAGCAGGTAGTCTTCCTTTCAAACCGGATACAAATGTGGAGGTTTGCATGCAGGCTGATGAGTGGCCCCACAGAAGTCTGTCGGTGTCTCCTTAGCATTTTCCTTTCAAGCAAGGCCATTGGTTCCATCAGCTCCTCTTAGGACCCACGTGTCCTTTCTGTGTTTGTTCCTTTGTTGGGGGCGGGGAGACGGCACTGGATCCCTTGGAGCTGGAGTTGCAGGTGGTTGTGAACTGCCTGACATGGATATTGGCAGCTGACCTTAGGTCCTCTGCACCCCTGAGGCATCTCCCTAGCCCAAGTTTCCCTTTTGGTTTTTTTGGAGGTGGTGAGGGTGTTTGATTTTTTTGTTTTTGTTTTTTCATTTTGTTTTGTTTTGTTTTTGATACAAGGTTTCCATATAGCCCTGGCTATCCTGGAACTTGTTCTGTAGATCAGGCTGGCCTTGAACTCAGAGATCTTCCTGCCTCTGCCTCCCGATTAAAGGAATTTAAGGAGTGTGCTACCAGCTCAGTCTTCCTTATTTTTTAAAAACAAATAATTGAGCCAAGTGTTGGTGGCCTACGCCTTTAGTCCCAGCACTCAGGAGGCAGAGGCAGGTGAATTTCTGTGAGTTCGAGGCCAGCCTGGTCTTCAAGAGCAAGTGCCAGGGCAGCCTCCAGAGCTACACAGAGAAGCTTAAAAACAAACATAAAAACAAAAAAAAAAAAACCCCAAAGTATTGGTAGAGGGTAAGGAGATGGCTCATGGGCAAAACGTTTGCTGTACAAGCGTGTGTGCCTGGGTTCAGATTCCCGGCCCCGTGTAAGCTGAGCATGAATGACAGTGTGTGCCCGTAACCCCAGTGCTGGGGAAACGGTGGTGAGGAGAGGCAGCTCTCTGGGGCTCAGTGGCCAGCTAAGCTAGCCTAATTGCAGAGCTCAGGATCAGTGAGGAAGCAATAGGAGCAGCCACTCGACATGGCTCTGTCACCCTCTCTACAGGCACAAACATAGGACAGTGCACCCTGACACACGCATGCACACATAGGTACCCAGGATCCCACTAGCGTGTTTTCTGTACTCTCCGTAAAGCATCTTAAAAGGCGATTGGAGTAAATCAATGAGTTTTTAACATTTTATTTGTGTTACATTTGCTTGTGAGGGGTGGGGAGGTGCTGCAGTGCACGTGTGGAGCTGTCTTCCACCACGTGGGTCCCAGGGATTGTCAGCCTTGGTGGCAAACACCTTCACCTGCTGAGCCAGTCTCCCAGGGCTGTACTTAGTGGTTTTTTCTTAAGCAACAAAATGCTTTTGCTAACCTGAATCTTACAAAAAGGTTAATATAGAAGTGAACTAGCAATGGCTTCCTTTGATTGAAGGGAACCCAGGACCCTGGAACTACCATTCCTACACATACACCCCACTTACATTTCAGCCCCACCCAAAGCATGGGATTTGGGGAATACAGGCTAATGAAAATTGCTGGTCCACACTAGCTCTAAGGATGCTTTTGACTCTTTTGCTTCCTCTGGCTGTTTTGATGTTGTGCTGGCCATTAGCCTATAGCCTAGGGTATTAATCTTCTCTGCAGCCTTTGGAGGATTTGTTTGAATGGTTGTAGAGACGTGGCTTGTTGTTAGAGATGTATTTCAAGGTCTGTCTCTGCTGAGTGTTTATTAATAATCTTGTTAATCCCTGCTCTAGTTCCCGGATCTAGCTAACGCCTGTCGGAGGTCCTTGGGGGGCATTTTAAATTCTCTCTGATTCTTGGAGCCAGACGCTTCCTTCTGCCCAAGTCCTCTCTGCTACTTCAGCTCATGAATATTTTACATTTCATCTCTACGCAATGGTCATGGTGCACTGCCTGCCTGTCTCAGAGAAGACACTCTGAGTCTACAGCGTCTAATGGCACTGTGCCAGAGACCTTTGTAGTTGCCGCTTAAATGGCTTCAACCATGGACAGCGAGAGAGGAGCTGCTGGGTGGGGGACTTTGGCATGGAGCCTCTCAGCCTAAGCTTTGATCCTGTGGTTTCACTCAGGATCAAACACTAGCAGGCACTGCCAGTGGCCCGAGAGCTGTAACGGGGCCACTGGCCGGAGTAGCTCAACAGCTCCCCAGTCCCCATCCTAAATTCAGTCCCTCTGAGGGCTCTGCCTCACGTGTCACCACTGACACCTATCTGCCCTGGGGCACTATGCCTCAGCCCTGGTTGCCTGGGGTTTGTGTTCTCGAAAATCAACCGCAGGGAAAAGACTAAGCACTCATGTGCCAGGTAGAGTAGAGAGACCAAGGAACAGGAACATGATTAAAAGGCCACAGTTTAGAAGTCATAAAATGTCAATCCGGGCTGCAGGAGGCATCATTTCAGAAGTGTGGGGCCCAGGAGAGGAGACGAAGAGATGCAGATAGACACAGAAATAATCAGAGGCCAAAGATGGACCGAGAAAACAGCACCCTGAGGAAGCCTGTTCCAAGTGGGTGAGCTGTGTGTTTTACCCGACAAGTAAATAGTACAGAGACATGGAGCAGTGTGACCGAGGACCCTAGAAATGGACCAGATCCTCCCTGGATTGGTGCCACCAGCATGTTTACAGGGTTTTCATCTGAAAATCCCTCCCTTCGGATGTCTTAGGGGGCGAACTCACCCTGTGGCCCAAGAGTAATGTCAGAGTCCAGCCATCAAGTCTCTGTCTCCTCTATGAGTAGCAACTGAGAGGCCACTGGGGCCTCAGCGTGGATAAGGGCCATGCAGGCCAGCTTCTCCAAGGTGCAGTCTGAAAGGGATGTCCCAGGGAACTCTGTAGAGTGGGGGGATGAGACTGGGAAGGTTTGCCACTTGGGCAGTTATCTGAGATGCAGTGCTTCTGAGATACAGGTGCTGCTATACCCACCTGCCACACAGAGCTCCTGTCACCCTCTCACATTGCCTGTGGCTAAGGGGTAGGGACTGAGAGAGAGGGAGGTCCAGGCTCTTCCCTCAGGAACTTGAAATCACTGTGGCAAGCCAGCCCACCCAGGAACAGACAGGTCAAGACACCTAGCTTCTTCCCTGGCACTGTAATAAGTCAGTGTTCATGCCCACTGCTTTGTTTTTATTTTATTTTCATGTGTGCATGATGTGTTCGTGTGCATGCATTCATGTGTGAGAGAACAGGTGTGCTCGTGCCATGGGTACATGTGAAGGTCAGAGGATAGCTGAAAATAGAATCAGTCTTGGCATTCTACTGCTTTTTATTTTTCTCTGCTGCAAATGCCAGGTTAGCTAGACTGTGAGCTTCTAAAGAGCCTCCTGTTTCTCCTCTGTCACACCACAGGAACACTGGGCTTACAGACACTCAGTGGTCCCAGCTTTGCCTGAACTCTGGGGATCTGAACCCAGGTCCTCATTCTTGCACAGCAAACACTTTAGCCACCGAGCTGCTTCTCCAGACCTCACCTCATTTTAAATGGGTCACCAGGGGCTCCACAGATCCCTTGGACCTGATACTGGGGCCAGTCCTGGGGCATTCTTTCTATCTGCCTGTCTGCTTCCTGCATGTTCAAGGCCAAAACAGGCAGCATGGATTGCCAGCAGTCCTCACACCTTAGGTTGACCATTCTAATCCCTGGTTAAAGACAGCAGCACCCGCATTGCATTGGTCATCCCGATACCTAATTCAGAAACTCACAACCAGCCAACGTGCAGAGAATACGTGTCAGTGGAATGCCCAGCCACAAATTGAGCTTTTCCTCACTACCCCACAATGCTCAGGGGAACCGAGGAAGAGGGAGTAGGAAGATTATAAGAGCCAAAGGCCAGGGAGCACCAGACCGTAACAGTGTCTTCTGAGCTCATGAACTCACAGCAGCTGTGGTTACCTGCACAAGATTACAGAGGTCTAGTGAGTCGGTGTTCTGGTGGGAGTAGAGAGGGGCTCTTGATCCTGCACCCCTAACTGGGGAACTATGGAGAAGGTGGGTTAACTGTGCTCTAGTGGGCAGTCCCACATCCACAAGTGTAAGACTGGCACAAACTGAACTAAGTGTGACACAAAGTTGAGGAAGGGGTGAGGTAAGGGTGAATCTGGGAGGAATATGGATGAAAATGACCAAAATACATTATGTGAAATTCTCAAAGAATAAAAACTTCTTTAGGTTTATTTTATTTTACTGGTGTGGGTGTTTTATCTGAATGTGTGTACATGTACATGTGTGCCTGGTGCCACAGAGATCAGAAGGTGTGGCATCGGATCCCTGAATCAGAAGGTTGTCAACCTCCATGTGGGTTCTGGGAATCAAATCCAGGTCCTCTGCAAGAACAAGTGCTCTTAACTACTGAATCAGGTCTACAGGTCCAAGACTGAAAACATTTTAAAATAACAGTTGGTCATCCTAAGAGAAGCTCATTTTTAGCTTCCTCTAAAGTTGTGAATCTGACAGTTATGAAGAAAACATTGATAGCATCATTATGTGTTCCAGAAAAAGAATTACAACAAAACTCATGTTGGTATAATAGAGAAATGATTGTAAAAACAGTAGCATCTCAAATATAGATGCAAGTACTGCTTAACATGAATAAAATCTTTAATCTTCCCCACAAAAACAGAAGTTGGTCATCAGCTTCTCTGAATATAGATGATGTGAGACAGGGTGGGCCAGAGCCCTGGGCCTCCTACAGGGAGGGGTGCACTTTGGATAGGTGTCAAGGCTAGCTAAGGACTTAGGGCCGCATGGGGTCTAGCCTAGAGTTGGAGGCTAGTAAGAGCTAGTGCAAGGGAGGTTGCTAGGGCTGCACCCGGAATGGGTGCCTGCCTACCTTGTCATCAGCAGTGTGTGTTCTGCTTTTAGGACAGCACAAAACTACGTGGTCACCTGCAAGTTTGTCGTCTTATCTACCACCAAAGTGCAGAAAATAGGAGTCAGTGGAATGCCTAGGCACAGACGGAGACTTTATCACTACCCCACAATGCTCAGGGGCCACCGAGGAAGAGGGGGCAGGAAGATTATAAGAGCCAAAGGCCAGGGAGGACCAGACCAGCACATCCAGCCTCCCAGGGTGCACTCTTTAGGACTCTTTGGCCAGCTTAGAAGTTCTTATTCAGAATATCCCCTCCCCACCCCCATGCTTTTAGTCAGAGGCTGAAGTCTTGAGGTCTTGTCTGTATTGGCCAGGTGGTTGTCTGGACCCTGAAAAGAGGAAACAGAGAAAGAAGGACTCTCTCAGGGGAGTACCTGCTCTGGCCTTAGTCCACCCTTAAGCTCAGAGGGATATAGACAGACCCTTTTCCTAAGAAATGCGTAGAAAAGCGTGAGAGTCAGACAGCTCATGCGTGAACTTGTAGAGGAAGTCCTGTGGGTTTAGGGATGTTTGGACTTTCTGGAACAGCCTGGATTACGTGAGACCCTTGTTGGATGTGGGTAGGACATACATCTTGGCTTTTCCATTGAGGTTATAGTAAATGAGTCTGCCTCTGTCTCCCTGAATTCTGACCTGCCACTAAAGTAAATGCTCCCAGAAACTCAGAGGGCAGATGAGAAGGGTTGCTTCAGGGTTCAGGGCAACCCCTGGGATCACAAGCTAATAGTTCCCTGTCTCTGCTTTCTCTCCCACAGGACCCAGCCGCCGCCTCTATCTCAGACGGAGACTGTGACGCCCGGGAGGGTGAGTCAGTAGCCATGAATTACAAACCATCCCCGCTCCAAGTGAAGCTGGGTGAGTGTGTCTGGGGGATGAGGGCGATGTGGGAAGTGAACAAGGTGCTCTCGGGCTAGGTTTACAGCAAGGCGCTACAATTAAAGTAGCTCAGTCTAGACGATTCCAAGACTAAACCTCCAAGTAAGTCATTGGCACGCCCAGGCACCTTATGTCTTGCAAGACAAAGAAGACAATCATGGTCTCTGAGTGAGAGACCTCTGAGGCTAGAGACCCCAGGTATTCAAGGGGTGGCTGTAAGTGTGTAAAGCATAGAGCCCCAGGACAGGACTCAGAAGGCCCAGTCAGGAGGAACCTGCCTCCCAAAGATACGACTGCTGCTGTGTCAGACAGGTCTCAAGACCTGGATGGCTCTGTCTGGGGAGATTGTCCCTTTCTTAGTGAACCCAAGGGCCCCCTCTTTCCAGATATCTCATTACCTTTCTCTTAGGGTAGGTTCCATGTCCACTCTGATGTCCATTTCCTGCTTTGAAATCACCTGGCTCCAAGCTGGGTGTTGGTGGCGCACACCTTTAATCCCAGCACTCGGGAGGCAGAGCAGGCAGATCTCTGTGAGTTCAAGACCAGCCTGGTCTAAAAGAGCTAGTTGCAGGACAGCCTCCAAAGCCTGCCTCAAAACTCCCCCACCCCACCCCACCCCATGCCAAAAAAAAAAAAAAGAAAGAAAATAAATCACCCGGCTCCCACAAGTGCTCAAAGCCCCCCTGGCTGCAGCTCTCACCCCATTCTCTGCCCAGCAATCTCACTGACCAAGGCTACTATAGACAACAAACTTCCACCAAAAAACGGATATCCTGAAGAAAAATTCTAACATGTCACACGTGAGAGAGATGACCATTGAATACAGGTCATCTCTGTCCTTGAGACTCCTCTGTCATTCCAGCCATCTTCTCAGAACTCGGGCTCTAGTTGCCCACCCAAAACTGGTATCTTCCTCAGTTGAGATGAGCCTCTTGCCTCTTTAACAAGCTTCTCCTCCACAGCTATCAGGATTCCTTTCCACGGGGCCTGCTCTTTTAGTCTATTCAAAAAAACACAAATAAAATAGACCTTGCTTCTAGACCATATCCAGGCATCTCCTCTGGCTGATTTCTAAACAGAACAGCAGCTCTCTCAATGGAATTGTCTATCTTCCTAGGACATTCTATTCAGAGGACAGCCAGTTTTGTTTATTATTGTTTAATGCAACAATAAAAGTATTTTAAATGCATGTAAGTTCTCTACTCTCTCCAGAGGCAGCCATTGCAAGTTCTTGACGCTCTTTTGTACTTTAGCACAAATGGAATTGCATTGTACACGTTCCCTCCCACTACATAATGTCTCAGAACCTCGATAGAGAATGAGTTCCTTCTTTTAAATGGTTGCATAGTAGTCCATATAGTCTGAGCCTTACCAGCTTATTGTCTGCATTTTTTATGATTTCAAACAAATTTAGCATGCTTTTAAAATAGCATTTTTATTTCCTTCACATTATATCACCACCAAAGCTCATGGAAATTCACAACTTGTCTCACTTGCAATAAAGAAAATCACCAAGAACTTTAAGTCAAATCGCTCCCCCTAGAGGCTGGATGTGGTAATGGCAGTTACTGCCTGCTGAAGAGAAGCTGGAAACAATCCCCTGTAGCGAAAGAGAAAAAAAAAAAGTGGTCAGGGAGTAGGATGTAAGAGCGTCAGAGGCGTGGGAATCAGAACGTTTCAAGTGAGCCACAGGTGCTGTAACGGCCCCTCCCATCCTTATGCTCTTGCCCTTTTTTTTTTTTTTTTTGCTTTCTATTTATTTTGTTTGTTTTGTTTTGTTTCTCATGGCAAGGTTTCTCTGTGTAGCCCTGGCTGTTCTAGAATTCACTCTATAGACCAAGCTGGCCTTGAACTCAGAGAACCATCTGCCTCTGACTCCAGAGTGCTGGGATTAAGGGTGTGACCACCACGGCCTGGCTCGTGCTTACCTTCTCAAGATCCTCCTCGCTCCAGGCCTCCCTGGCTGCTTCAGCCCTCTGTGTTCATCTTTCCTCTCTAGCCTGTCCTTGACCTCAAGCACACACTGGCTGCCTAACACAGGAACTGTGGTTCCCAGGAGCAGGACCTGGGCTCCTCGTTTCCTCCCCCACACTCAGTTATGCAGGGCCAAGTGCATGTCCCTAGGCATCAGGTGCCTGGAGGGCCATGGGCTCTCTGCCAGCGAGAAAAGGAAATGCACAAAAAAGGCCACCCCTGCAGCAAGGCCTGGGGCAGGACACAGCTTCTTCCCATGCTCTCCTGCAGAGAAGCAGCGGGAGCTGGCCCGGAAGGGTTCCCTCAAGAATGGCAGCATGGGCAGCCCTGTCAACCAGCAACCCAAGAAGAGCAATGTCATGGCCCGGACGAGGTGGGCACCCTCCCTGCCCCACTGAGACCCCGCCAGCCAACACCTCCAGCCTCTCCCTCCTCAGCGGAATCCGGGGGGAGGGGAGGGGGAGGAAAATGAGGGAGGAGGACCCCGTCAAGTCCCCTGCCATGTTTGTACGCTTCAGCTGGCACTCCACCTCCCCAATTCTTTTCCCAGGCTGGTCGTCCCTAATAAAGGCTACTCCTCGCTTGACCAGAGCCCTGATGAGAAGCCACTGGTAGCTCTTGACACAGACAGGTGTGTATGGGGCCTGGGGGCAGCTGGGCAAACATGGTTCTGTGTGAGCACAGATGGAGTTGTACAGGCCATGCCTGCCTTATTGCCAGAGGTGGGGTACACTTCAACCAGAGCCCTCCATGGGTGAAATTCCCCAAGGGGACAGATTTTTTTCTTTTTCTTTTAGGAATGGGCATAGAGAGGACATTGTTGTTAAAATGTTTAGGTTTATCCAGTAACGAGACACAAACTGTGACGCAACGATCCCACGTGGAGTAACCAACCCGTGCAGAGCTGAGAGAGAGAGAGAGAGAGAGAGAGACGAGAGTAAAAGAGTAAGAGAGTGTAATCAGGCAGGGGTCAGTCCTTTAAAGGGGTCCTTTGCACCTGTGTGGTTCTCACAGAACTCTGGGCTGGCCAGAGTGTTGCCTGAGTGCATCTTGTCAGGTAACAGGGCAGGCCAGAGTAATGCCTGAACCTTTCAGACATAGTGAGAAGAACCCTATCGCTGGGGAGCATCTGGCTAGCCAGAGACCTTGAGAAAATCCAAACAGCCGGGATGATTTGAATCTAGGGAGAGAAAAGTCAAAACAAAAACATGAGGACTATAGTTCTATCTAGAAACCAGCCACTTTATTTAAAGGTCCAACTGGGAAGCCTGTCTTTACAAACATATATTTGCATAATAAGCACGGATTATTTAAATTATACTGCTGGGGGACAGCGGGTATGGCAAAGATAACGAGAATTTTCTATTTAATTTTTCTGAATCACTCCCTTTCTCTCTTTTTTCCCACGGCCAGCGATGATGACTTCGACATGTCCAGATACTCTTCCTCTGGCTACTCCTCTGCGGAGGTGAGGCTCCCCCCCTCCACCCCTTTGCCTCCACGGACTACTGGGAGCTAGACCACCTCTACCAGATAGCAAGGCTTAAGGGGCAGGTGGGGCGGAGCCCTGTGGGGGCGGGGCCTAGCGTGAGGCGGGGTCTGGGCTGGGAGAGCCTAGGAAGAAATCACTGCTCTGACAGCCCGGGGTTATTAAAGCGGGGTCTAAAACAGAGCATGTGCGGAATGCAGGCAACACCTTACATGGTGCACCTGAAATCGGGGCAAATCCTGAACTGAAGTAAGTTGACCTTGGACTGGGCAGGGCCTGTAGAGACCCAGCCTTAGGAAGACTCGCGTGGAGGAAGTGAGACCCAAGCCAGGCCGGAGTTTAAAATAAACCTAGGATGAGTAGGGGCTGTGGCCTCGGGGTGGCGGTGGCGGCCCCAGCCCAGGGAGATGCCCTTCCAGCTGACTCGAACCTTTTCTACAGCAGATCAACCAAGATTTGAACATCCAGCTGCTGAAGGACGGCTACCGGTTAGACGAGATCCCCGACGATGAGGACCTAGATCTCATCCCCCCCAAATCCGTGAACCCCACCTGCATGTGCTGCCAGGCCACTTCCTCCACCGCCTGCCACATTCAGTAGAGGGCGGGGTCGCGCGGCGCACGGGGCGGGACCGAGTCGGGCCAGGTGGGACGCGCGGCAGGGGCCAACCCCTACCCAGCTGGCCCACCGGTCCCCCTTACAGCCCCGAGCCCCTCACAGCCGCCAACCTCGTAACAGTCATTGCTTCCTCCTATGGTAGGACGTGTACCTCTGTGTGTTCATGGAGCCGGAGAAACCAAAACCGGGGCTGGGGGCCGAGGTGGGAGGGGCACTGTTTGTTCAGTTACTTGGGGGAGACCACACCCAAGCACCCTGCCACCTCTCCCCGGAGCTGCAGTCAGGAGCAGCACTGAAGGCCTGGAGGCCAACTGTAAGCAGTCGGGTGAAGGTATCACAAGGCCAGGGGTTTGGCCCCATGCCAGTGAAGCCATGAAGTCCCCAGCGCTAGCCTGGAAAGGAAGGAAAGAGGTTTGGAGAAGAAAAGGCCCCAAGCAATGGGGACAATTCTCAACACCTCAGAGCCCTTTTCCCCAACCCCCATGCCAGCCCATATACCTATTTGTGTTCCCCCTCATCTCCAGATGGGAAGCCAGGCAGCTCCGTCCAAAGGGATGCTGTCTTCCCTCATTAGATCACTGCCTTCTCCCTCCCTCCCTCAAGTCCCCTTCTTCCTTAGTTCTGAGGACTGGGGCGGGGGTAAGGTGGGCCTAGAGAGAGGCCAGGTTTGGGGATGTATGGCCTGTTCTCAAGAGCCTTTAACCAGTGCATCTGTCTCTCTGCCCCACCCCCCACCCTAGTCTTCTGGTTCTTGCTTCCAGGTTGGAAGCAAGCGATAAGGCTGGCCTCCAGTTCCCAGTGCACCCTAGCCCAAGGTCCAGGAGGCTGGCTTCCAGAAGAGCTGTTCAAGAGCAAGCTTAAGGGAATGCAGTGCACCAAGTGGCTGTATGTATGTGGGGTGCGTGTGTGTGTGTGTGTGTGTGTGTGTGTGTGTGTGTGTGTGTGTGTGACCTGTCTGTCCAGGTCAGCCTGATAGGTATGTGTGGAGGGAAGTGACTGTATGAAAGGTGCAGTGGACAGGGCACAGCCTGGCAGTCAGAAGCCTGGGTTCTGGTGTCAGCTCTGTCATTCCCCCTGAGCTCTTAAGCAGTTCCCAGGCTTCTCCAGGGCTTCAGTTCTCTCGACTGCAAACACAGAATAGCTGACATTACTGACACTCTGTGTCTGAAGAAATTTCTTCACAGGAATTTCTGCAGAGAGCTCTGAGAGCACCTAGGAGGCCCAAGGTGTGTGCTTGTGTAGACATAGGAAGCACATGCAGATTTGTTTGGGAAAGGTGTGTGTGTGTGTGTGTGTGTGTGTGTGTGTGTGTGTGTGTGTGTGTGTGTGTGTGTGATACATACTGTTGCTTCTGCTTTTGCTGATCTGGGGGAGGAAAGCTGAGACTGCAAGCCAATGAAGAAGAGATGGGAGCCCTCCTCTGGCTGGCAGTATAGACTGGCCCTCATCTGAAAACACAACCTCAGGCTGCTACTCTGTACCCCACCAGTCTCCTCCCATCCAGCCAAAGAGTAGCTTCTCCAGACCTCCTGCTGACCCCCGTACATGCTGGTGTTTCCGCAGCTGTGGCCGTTACTCTGTTACTTCTCCAGACCTCCTGCTGACCCCCGTACATGCTGGTGTTTCCACAGCCATGGCTGTTACTCTGTTACTCACATACGGCTCTCTGGATGCCGGTCCTGGTATGCGGGAGCTAGAGTGGGTGTGGTGACAGGAAGGAGTGGGGCTGTTGACTTTGGAAGGGAAGCACCTCTTACACCACCAGGGGTGGCAGCCCACTCCAGAGCGTCGGAGTGTAGCTCCCCCTGCCCCAGAGCTCACCTCCCCAGTGCAGAGTTCCTAACTAGATAATGAGAAAATGACAAAGGAGCCAAGTCAGAGAGAGCATTGCAGGGGCCACAAGACCCATAGTGGACCCCTCCGAACCCCCACCCCACCCTGGTTAGCATCCCCACCACCTATCATTTGGGTCCCAGAACTAGAACTCCTACTACCCCCACCCCACTGGGCTCTTTGACTCACCCTTCTAGAACATGGGTACCTCCTCTTTTTAGATGGCTGCCTCTGCTGCTGACTTACTGTGGGATTCTGGCCCATTTGGTGTCTGTGGCCCTGAGAGCCTAGGGAAAGCGCCCTCCCCACAGGGCACCCTGGTTCATTAGCAGGCAGGGGCTTCAGACAGAGACGGCATATACACAGCGTAGGAGTAGGGAGCTGCGTCCACAGAGAGTCCAAGGTTCCCCCCTCCCTGTCTGGAAGTTGAAGGGGAAGAGCCAGGGCCTTAGCTTGCCCCTGCTCCCCCACCCCTTGTAGATACTGCCTTAACACTCCCCCACCCTTGGCTGTGGCTGCCACCCAGCCAGGTTTCTCCGAGCTCACTAATTTATTTCCAAGAAGGTGTGTGGAAGACATGAGCCGTGTATAATATTTTTTTTAACATTTCCATCGCAGTATTGACCATCATCCTTGGTTGTGTATCGTGTAACACAAATAATATTAAAAGCATCAAACAAGCCAGACTCAGCTCCTTACCTGGGATGTGGGCTGAGGAGGGAGAAAACTGACCCCGGATGCACATGTCTTCTACCTCTGCTTGTTACTGATGAGGAGGGAGAAAACTGACCCTGGATGCACATGTCTTCTACCTCTGCTTGTTACTGATGTGTGGCCTACAGAATGACAGCCCCTCCTACACTCTGCCTCTCTTCAGCAGTGAGACATCAGCCCTGCAGGTTTCTAGGAGCCTTCTGAACTCTTCAAAGTGGATATTGTCAAGGGTTCAAGGCAGGAAGGGGCTGGCATAGGGAGGAAGTTAGGCCTCTTGTACAGGGATGGGGCCAAGGCAAGTGATATCATAATGGGCACTGCCCATCCTGGAAAGGAAGCTGGGTGGAGTAGAAGCAGGAAGGCTGAGGGGGAGGGACACTGAGAGGTCCCCAAAGGAAGGGGTCACATCAGCTAAGGGCACCTTCCGGCCTGGAGGTGTGGGCTATCTAGGGGAAGGGGTGGTCACTGATGTCCAGCAGGAGTCCTTGATAGGCAGAGCCCACTATAGCATCCCTGAGACTCCACCATGTTCCTCTTCTCTCGGAAGACCAAGACCCCCATCAGCACCTACAGTGACTCCTACAGGGCTCCTACCTCCATCAAGGAGGTCTATAAGGACCCACCTCTATGGGCCTGGGAAGCCAACAAGTTTGTGACCCCAGTAAGTACAGTTGTGTGTCTGGATGACTGGCATGTGACTGTCCCTGTGTTTGTAGTTATCTTTAGTTTTTTTTTTTTAATTCATTTATGAGTTTGTTTATTTGCTTATTTATTGGGTGGAAAGCCTCACTCACTGGGTAGTCTAGGCTGGCCCTAAACTTGTTCCGTCCTCCTACATCAGCCTCTGTCACCTGGGACTGCAGGTAGACCCCAAGCCTAGCCATTGTGATTGCTTTGCATTTATGGCAGATTCTAAGAACTCAGTCGAGCCTTAAACTTGTAATGGACCTAGGCTGGCCTTACATTCCTCAGCCTCTCACGTTCTGGGATTATAGCATGTGCACCACCATATCTGCCTTTATTTTTTGTCATTAATTTTGTGGTGTTGGAAATCAAATCCAGGGTGTCAAGCATGCTAAGCAAGTGTTCTATGCCTTGAACTATAGCCCTAGCTATTACATTTTTGAATTTAATTTTGAAGTATTATTTGTTTGCACCATTTTTGTTTACATGGATGCTGGGGATTCAAACTCAGGACCTCATGCCTACAGAGCAGGTGCTGTGCCTGAGCCGTTGCTCCGGCTTCTTAAGGTTTGCTGTAAGTTCAGTCTACCCCTGAACTTGCTCTGTACGCCTCAGTCTTCCAACAGTTGGGATTACAGGCCTGCTCCCAGCTTCCTTTTCTGCATAGGATTCTGTCCTTATGGAACTACACCGGGGAGGGGGAACTAATTAGAAAAAACCCACAAATTTCTAAGCCGTTCAGCAAATTAACATCATAATGGCAATGGAGGAAACCCACTCTTACAGGTCACAGAAAGCCTTCCTCTCAAGGTGACCTAGAAAGATGGGGAAAAGCAGGAGAAGAGTTAAAACAAGAACTGAAAGTTCCAAGTGACCAGAAAGTGCAAATGCCCTGGGGCTGCCTGTAGAATGGGTCAGAAGTGTCCAAGAGGCACATGTTCATGCATGGGCATTACATTCCCTTCTGTGTGTCTGGGAGGCAGAAGAGGGACAGTGGATGTGGGAACTAGAGCTTGTGGTAACAAAAGGAGTTTATGAATAGGAGTTTTGAAGTTTGTCTAAATATGCTCTAGAAAAGGAGGAGGGAGAACTTGGAGGATGGCAAACTGGGCCAAACTGGGCTGCATATGGATACCTGTCTAAAGTCCTAAGTCTCACATAAAGTTAATGTTTTATTTTTATTCTATTTTGAACAAAGGACAGGATTGCCTGATAACAAATGCTTAAACTAGCTGAAAGTAGAGGAACTAAATCTGACTCTTTACACACACACACACACAACACACACACTTGCAGGCATACACATATGCACACCTGCAAACATACATACCTGCATGCACACACAACAAACACCTGCATACACGCGCGCGCACACACACACACACACACACACACACACACACACACACTGCTTGTATGACTTCTATGAAGGAAAATATCCTCACTGCAGGTCTTCTGGTATCCAAAGTGCCACCACATTAACATAAGTTCACAATAAGATATAAGACAACAAATCAGGGTTGGTGAGCCGGGCGTTGGTGGCGCACGCCTTTAATCCCAGCACTCGGGAGGCAGAGGCAGGCGGATCTCTGTGAGTTCGAGGCCAGCCTGGTCTACAGAGTGAGTTCCAGGACAGCCTCCAAAGCTACAGAGAAACCCTGTCTCGAAAAAACCAAAAAAATAAAATAAAATAAAAAATCAGGGTTGGTGGTAAATCACTTGCCTAGCATGTTGCACCCCCAACGCTGCTAAAAAAACCAAAACAAAACAAAAAACCAGGTGTTGGTGGCGCATGCCTTTAATCCCAGCACTCAGGAGGCAGAGGCAGGCGGATCTCTGTGAGTTTGAGGCCAGCCTGGTCTACAGCCAGGATAGCCAGGACTATACAGAGAAACCTGCCTCAAGCAAACAACTCACCATATTACAGAATCACCAGAAATAACAGACCTGAGGGTTTCAGATAGTGGAATTAACAAGGGATTTTTAGCCGGGCGTTGGTGGCGCACGCCTTTAATCCCAGCACTCGGGAGGCAGAGGCAGGCGGATCTCTGTGAGTTCGAGGCCAGCCTGGTCTACAAAGTGAGTTCCAGGACAGCCTCCAAAGCCACAGAGAAACCCTGTCTCGAAAAACCAAAAAAAAAAAAAAAAAAAAAAAAAAAACAAGGGATTTTTAAAGTTTTAAATGGAAGAGCAAGAGATGTGGGTCAACAGTTTTGTGGGGTCTTTGTTTATTTATTTATTTATTTATTTATTTATTTATTTATTTATTTATTTTGGTTTTTCGAGACAGGGTTTCTCTGTATTGTTTTGGAGGCTGTCGGTCCAGCCCGGCCTCGAACTCACAGAGATCCACCTGCCTCTGCCTCCCGAGTGCTGGGATTAAAGGCATGCGCCACCACCGCCCGGCTTGTGGGGTTTTTAATAAGATAAATCAGGTAAATCTCTAGAGATTAATCAGGAAAGACAAGACACCGACAAATAAAACCCACTTCTAGCCAAGGGTCTAGAAGAAAATAGAGAAAAGAAATGGCATGAGCAGCTTTAGTAAAACTGGAGTCAGATGGGATGCTGGACGAAGTGTTCCCCTGCAGCGTCAGCCACTAGGGAGGCGACATAGTCAGAGTGAAGTCTAGAATCATCTTTAGCTTTAGTGAACTATGAACTGTGCAATGAACTTGTATTTGCATTCTGTATACAAAAAAAAATTACCTGCCAAATGGTTCTTGGGGGGCGAAGGCCTCTGACTGACCTGAGTTAATCTCTAGGACCCACATGATGGAAGGAGAGGACAGACTCCTGTAAATTGTTCTCCTGCTTCTCCCACACACACACACACACACCACACCACAAATAAAACACAAAAATACGTTTTAGGCCCGGCATGATGGTACACAGGCATGATGGCACACACCTTTAATCCCCGCATTTGGGAGGCAGGTGAATCTCTGTGAGTTAGAGGCAGCCTGAGCTGTTATACATCAAGCTCCAAGACAGTCAGGACCACAGAAACCCTGTCTCAAAAAAAATTAAATGGGGCTGGAGAGATGGCTCAGTTGGTAAAGTGATTGCTGTGCAAAACTGAAGATGTAATTTCAACTCCCAACACCCAGTGTAAAAAGTCAGGTGCAGTCCTCACACCTTCATTCCATGGCTGGAGGACCCCTAGGGGTCTCTGGCTCCATCACTAAAACCAGATTTCTGGGTTCAGTGAGAGACCCTGTCTCAAAAGTAAGGCAGAGAATGATGAGGAAGACACTGGACATTGCCTTGGCCCTCACATAAATGACTACATACGCAAATGATAGAGTTTTTCAGATATGAATTACATATATTCATTACAAAGTTACAAAAAGTCATGAATACATGAATAAACAAAATGGCATAGTTCAAGAATAGACTCATACATATATGGAAACAATATTCAACAAAAATGGTTGACAATAAAGCTATGGAAAAAGACTCACCAGGCTTGGGGTGGCATGGTAAATCCATAGGGGAAAAATAGACTGCTTAGTAATAAAATTAGTTATTCATATGGATAGAAACAAAATTAATATATAACACCACACCCAAAATGAAAGTCCTGGAAGATTAAATATGGAAAGTAATGCCACATAGCTTTCAGAAAAAAAATACAGGACATTATTTCCATTATCTGAGAGTATGGATATATTTCTTTAGTCATAAAAGGCATTAACCATCAAACAGATTAATAATTCAGCTGGTTTAAATTAAGAACTTCTGTTCATCAAAGACACCATAAAGAAAATTAAAGAAAAAAAAGCCACAAACTGAGAGATTTGCAACATGTAACTGATTAGCATACAGAATACATAAAGAAGTATAATCCTTTGGGCTAAAATTGAACACACGTGCGTTCTGACCCCTGCCTGAAACCACAGTAAATGGATACTTGGGATCCAGACTCACAAGGATGGTGAGAAAGCGCCCGTGGCAAGGAAAGCATGGTAAACGGAAGTTGACAGAGGGCAGTCACTGACCTAGCACACCTGAGGAGGCAGACGGAAAGCCAGCCTTGGACGCCAGGTGACTTTTAGCTCAAGGACACAGAATCAAGAAGGCTCAGGGATGGGCCAAGGCTAAAATAAGGGTTATTTGAAAGTCACTTAAGAAGCAGTCAAACCTACTAATCGTTTCTATTCGTTGCCTCGGGGTGACTGCCTGGCTCGGGCTCTGGCAGGATCTTAAAAGCAGATGAGCATCCATAGAGTGACAGCTAAAACCTCCATCAGCCCTCACACACCACACTGGCAGCTGCACTGGTACCCTAGGCCAAAGGTTAAAGGAGCCTTTCCAAAGAAGCAGACCCTCATCAGAGGAAAGGAGTGGGCACACTGCTGCTGTGGTCTGCAAGCAACAGCCCAGCGGTGTAACAGCTGGCAAAGTCCCTCAAGGCCTCAGATAGCTTTTTAGTTTTCTATTTATGAGCATGAGCAAAGACCACATACATCTTAGGAAAGCCTCTAACAGAAAAATGGTTGATACCTGTGAGTTCTTCTAAATCCGCCCCTCTCTCTCTCTCTCTGTGTGTGTGTGTGTGTGTGTATGTGTGTGTGTGTGTGTGTGTGTGTGAGAGAGAGAGAGAGAGAGAGAGAGAGAGAGAGAGAGAGAGAGAGAGAGAGAGAGAGAGAGAGAGAGAGAGAGAGCGACCTGAGGTTGATACTGGGAGTCTCCTTCAATTGTCCTCCATCTTTTTTTCTTTTTAATGAGTGTTTTGCTTGTACATATGTCTGAGCACCGTGCACATGCCCCCTTGGAGGTCAAAAGAGGGTACCAGATCCCCTAGAATTGGAGTTCTAGACTATTGAGCCACCATGTGGATTGTGGGAAGTGAACCCAAGCCCACTGAAAAACCAAGTGACCTTAACTACTGAGCCAACCCTCCAGCACCCTCCAACTATCTTGTTTTTTGAGATAGGATCTTTCTCAGAACACTGAACTCAAAGATTCAACTGGTCTCACTGTCCAGTGAGCCACATGGGCCTGTCCATTTCAGCATGCTCCCTGCTCCCAGCATGCAGGGGTTTTTTTTGTTGTTGTTGTTTTGGTTTGGTTTTTGGTTTTTGGAGACAGGGTTTCTCTGTACTGTTTTGGAGGCTGTCCTGGAACTCACTTTGTAGACCAGGCAGGCCTGGAACTCACATAGATCGGCCTGCCTCTGCCTCCCGAGTGCTGGGATTAAATGTATGCGCCACCAACGCCCGGCTAGCATGCAGGTTATAAGCACGCTTTACTACAGTGGCTTTTTTACAGTGATTCTGGGGATCCAAACTCAGGTCTCCACGCTTTTCCAGACTTTACTGATTCAGCCCTGAATTACTGTGTGTGTGTGTGTGTGTGTGTGTGTGTGTGTGTGTGTGTGTGTGTCTGTGTGTCTGTGTGTCTGTGTGTGTGTGTCTGAGTGTCTGAGTGTTTGGTATGAGTGTTTAGTATGTGTATATATGAATGTACATCTGTGTAGGTTTAAATGCAGCTGGACTATGTGTATATAAAGCTCAGGGAAGCGCTGAACTACGGCACTCTTACACATAAAGCTGCTTCCACCCACACGGGAATGTCACTGTGCCAGATAGCAGGACATCATCAGCTAGGCACATGTTTTCCCAGAAAGTCCTGAAATAAGGACTTTTCCAGGAGCAATCAGGCATCAGACACTCACGCACACACACAGACACACACACAGCCTTTGCCCTTGAAATCAAAAGATCAAGTGAGTGTTCTCAGCTAACTTTTCAGACTGGCTCTCATTAAATATACCTTATTTGGGATTGTGCCCTCAATTGAAGACAAGGGACCCCAAAACGAGGTCTTCATTTGGGTCACCATAGATCTATCCAAACAAGGAGCGATGGTCTGAGGTAAGGTGAACTTTAATAAGTAGAAGAGCCCAGCATCCACAATGAGAACAGGAAAGCAGCGGGATGGTGTCACACACCTTTAGTCCCAGCACTCAGGAGGCAGGAGCAGGTGGATCTTTGTGAATTCAAAGCTAGCCTGGTCTACAGAGTGAGTTCCAAAACAGCAGGGATACACAGAGAAACATTTCTGCCTTGACGAAAAAAATTCAAAAAATACAAGAAAAAATATCAAGGGCAGATAATGACCAGAAAGAACAAAGCTAGTCTCAAGGTCAAGGCTGAAATCACTGCTGTCAGAGAAAGAGACACGCAGAGTCTGGGTGTTGTTACAGACAGTGTTACATGGTAAAGCAGGCGCCTCACCAAACCCATCCTTCAACTTCAAGGTGCCGGATGCTCTCCCTGTCCCAGAAATCTGCACAAGGCCGTCAGGTCCCACCCAGCCTTCCCTCTAGGTTGTGTCCACTGGCCCTGTTAGAGCAGACTCCTGAGGGTCAGTGCAGAAGAGACGAGAGCTGCACATGTCTCGTACCTTCCTGAGCTCTCTCCCAGCCAGGAATGGGCTAAAATGAGGTCAGGAAACTACCACAGCTCGGAGCAAGAGCCTGCTTCCATGTGTCAGATTTAGATAAGAAAACAAGCAAATAAGACAGAGGGCCAAGACGACGATTCCAAAGCAGGCTGGGAAGCTGGAGAAACAGCCCTGCAGTTAAGAGCACTGGCTGCTCTTGCAGAGGAAACAGATTCTGTTCCCAGCACCCATTTGGTGACTCACAAGTGTCACCTCCAGTCCTCGCCATTCCGGGGGCCCCCCTCTGGCCTCCTCGGGCACTGTATTGTGTGATGCAGGTATATACATGTAGGCAAAACACTCATGCACAGGAAATTAAAGTTAAAACAAAAATAGGTCTATGCAGAAGTGCCAATGTGACATGAGGTCCCCTCTTGGACCGGGAGTAGGTGGAAATCCAGTCAGGCTGAACTTTTCAAGAAAGACTACATCTAGCTCCAGCGAGTTCCGTGTCTCCCTCTGCACAGGGTCTGACTCAGACTATGCACCGCCATGTGGATCCGGAGGCCCTTCAGAAGATGGCCAAATGTGCTGCGCAGGACTACACCTATAAGAGTTCCATAGCAGGTCACCCTTACTTGCCTGAGAAATACTGGCTCTCTCAGGATGAAGGTAGGCTCTCAGCCGCTTCCTAGCTCTGACCTTAGAAGTGGCCCTAGCAATGACCCACAACTTGAACCCAATTTGAATCCTGATCTCCACCCTGACCTCATGACATAGGCCACTTCCCTAACCGTCTGTACAATCCGACACCTACTTATTCCAGCCCTTGGCCCTGGAGAAGACTCAAACCCATATTTGGGGGGAGTTGGCATTCTCAAAATAGAGCTGGAATCTAACCAGCCATGGTGGCACACACCTACAGTCTCAGCTACGCAGGAGGTTGAAGCAGGAAGAGATCACTTGAGCCTGGCAGTTTGAGGTCAACCTGAACAGCATAGTCAGATACTATTTGAAAGAAAAAAATCAGCCGGGCGTTGGTGGTGCACGCCTTTAATCCCAGCACTTGGGAGGCAGAGGCAGGCAGATTTCTGTGAGTTCGAGGCCAGCCTGGTCTACAGAGCGAGTTCCAGGACAGCCTCCAAAACAATACAGAGAAACCCTGTCTCGAAAAAACCAAAAAAAAAAGAAAAAAGAAAAAAAAGAAAGAAAGAAAGAAAGAAGGAAAGAAAGAAAGGAAGGAAGGAAGGAAGGAAGGAAGGAAGAAAGGAAGGAAGGAAGAAAGGAAGGAAGGAAGGAAGGAAGAAAGAAAAAATCACTGGGTAGGTCTGAGGTCTTAGCCCTAGCAAGGTGGAGAGAATGCTAACTTCCTACAGTCCCGCCCACCTCCTACAGTCCCGCCCACCTCTTTCATCCCCCCCCTTAGTCACCCTTTTCTATCTGCTTTCTCTGCTTTCTATCTCTCAGCCCTTCTACGGCCTGGGGCATTTTCTTTCCACCTAAATTTTTTCTCTTGTTCTTCTCTTTCATAAAGACGTAGTCTATACTTTTATCATTTAGGAAAAATCACCTTTCTCCTTCGGCTACATGTTTATGATCTGTCTCCCTGTCCATTTAAGAAGGATGGAATGTTGTCTTATTCATAGCTGTACCCTCTCCATCACGGGGCTTCATCGGTACTTTTCTTCCTAAGTGTTTATTGAATGAATTGGTAATTCCCAGTTAGTGCTGGGAGCCCGGAACACTGAAATTACACTTGTGTGTGTGATTTTCACACCCATGGGAACTCTGTGTTTAGCCTCTGAGACAAGTCCTGCATCTCACTTTTCTGACCACTCTATCTCCTTGAAATAACCTCTCCCCAACTTCCCTGTCTCTAGTACACTCAGTATGGAAAAGGGGGCTTCCACAGGGTGCTACCCAGAGCCTCCGTCTCTTCCCCTAAGGCCATTTGATGCAACCCATGTACGACTTTAATGACTTTTTAAATGACTTATTTATTTTTATTTTCTGGGCACTGTGTTTTGCCTGCATGTGTGTCTGTGTGAGGATGTTGGATCCCCTGGAACTGGAGTTACAGACAGGTGAGAGCTGCCACTGTGGGTGCTGGGAACTGAACCTGGGTCCTTTAGAAGAGCAGCCAGTGCTAGAAACCCTTGAGCCACCTCCCCAACCCCATGACTTTAGTTGCTGTTATCATCTTTCAGGCCTTGACCCCTCACTAGCATCCCATTCTCTCGCACTTTGACCTGGATGTTCAAACCTCAAGCTCAGAGTGCCAGATCCTCCAGCTTAGAACAGCAAACTTAACGCTCCTCCTCTCCCCTCCAGCAGCCATTTTTCTTGGGCTTCTTTTGTGGTTTTGTAGGATTTGGGTTATTTTCATTTGGTTTTGTTTTCCAACAGTGTCTTACTGTGTACCCCTGGCTAGTGCAGAACTGGATATGTAGATCAGGCTATTTGGAACCCATAGAGATCTGCCTACCTCTGTCTCCTGAGTGCTAGGGTTAAAGCTGTGTCACCATGCCCAGGCTTTAAAAATATTATTACATGCATCAATTTTGTATGTGTGTGTATGAGGGGCAAGCCCATGTCACAGCCCATATGTGGAAGTCTGAGGACAACTTTGTGGAATCAGTTTTTTTTTTTTCTTCTATCAAGTGAGTCTCAGGGATTGAACTCAGATTGCCAGGCTTGGTAGCAATTGCCTTCACTCATTGGATCTTTCTGTAGCCCAGGCTAGCCTAAAATACACACTGTCACCCAGGCTGCCCTTGAACCCTTGGTGAGCCTCCAACCCAAGCCCCACAAATGCTTGGATTCCAGGAATGCACCATCAGGCCAGAGTTCTCATTCATCCTGTCCCTCAGCAGTCTCTGTCCTTCAGCCTTTGGGGCAGCGGACCGTAGAGGGCTTGTAGGACATGGTTAAAAGATGGGGAAATATCATAGCTTCTATGTTGATGTTGGGTTGTAGGATTACAGTTTTTTGTTTTGTTTTGTTTTTCCGAGACAGGGTTTCTCTGTATTGCTTTGGAGTCTGAAACTTGCTCTTTAGACCAGGCTGGCCTCAAACTCACAGAGATCCACCTGCCTCCCGAGTGCTGGGAATAAAGGCGTGCGCCACCAACGCCTGGCCGGGTTGTAGGATTCCAAAGATGGAGCAAGGAGACCAGCAGGCTAATATCCATAGCTTTCTATTACCAAGCATTCTTTCTCTTCTCCTTTTCTCCTTCACCTTGTTTCCCACTCCTCTTCTGAAGACAGGGTCTCATGCAGCCCAGAGCTGGCCTTGAGCTCAATTTGTAGCCAAGGAGGACCTTAAACTCTTGATCCTCCTGCCTCCACCTCCTCAGGACTGGGATTGTCTGGACTTTTTGCTTGTTTTGGTGTTTTTAATCAGGATATCATCATATAGTCCAGGTTGGCCTTGAACTCAAAGCAATTCTCCTGCCTCTGCCTACTGGAATTACAGGTATGGCCCACTATGTTCAGCATGTTTTCTAAAACTTTTGTATAGATTAACTCATCTAGGCTTCACAACCAGTCTTACACTTTTTCCCCCTGCAGTGCTGATATTTGCAGCCAGGCACTGTGTATCACAGGGGGTATTCTGCTAACCATGACATTATTTTTGTCTCCTGGTGAAGGCAACACAAGGATAAAGGAATGAGATCATAGAGGAAGAGGGAAGAAAGTCAGGTCATTTTAAGGTTGATCAGGCAGACCTGGGGGCCTGGGCATGCTAGAGAGAGGGGAGGTCCCCCTTCCAGGCTCGTTGATTCAAAGAGGGCGTGACCCGGGGGGAAGCTGACAGCCCAATGGATCCAAACCTTGCCCAAAAGCATCCTCTAGGTGAGACATGATCTGCAGCTCAGTGGCAAAAAGAACAAGGGTGGTGGACGGGCATGATGCGGTCCAGGCCTGTGGCCCCAGCACCAGGGAAGGTAAGGGAGGAGGACAGGCAGACTGCATAGACAGACTGAGACTAGTACTTCCAGGCTACACAGTAAGACCCTGTCTCCAAAGTAACTAAGGAAATGGGAGAGGATCTGCAAGTCTGGACTTGGGAGTTGGGGTGCGTGGGGATCAGCTCTGTGATAGAGATCAGAGAAGAAACATCTAGAAGGTGCCAGGATCTGAATGGACTGAGAAGTAATCCTGACATCTCCACTCTTATGATGAAGAGGACAAATGCTGTACAAACTACCTGGACAATGACCGTTACAACACATGGAGGACAGGACCTTACAACAGCTACTGGAACAAGTATACCACCTGTCTTCCCCGACTGCCTAAGGTACCTATTGTACCTACCACAACTGCCTGAGGTCTAGCCATGCACACACACACACACACACACACACACACACACACACACACACACACACCCCGTCTCCACATTGCAGTGACTCTTCCCCATCTGTAAAATTACGGGTTTCTATTTTTTTTTTTTAGCTGACAATGGAGGTCAGGAGTTGGCCTGTGATAGACCCTTGGGTTCCAGTCTCTGTGACCCGGCTTGGTGGTACCGTAGCTAGTGTGCACTCCTTGGCGATTTTGAAGCCTGCCAAGCAGTACCGCCTCAGTTGGTCTGGCTACTGGGACTCCCTTGAGTCAGTAATGACCTAGGGCTTCCCTGCCCCACCTTCTCCTCCTTTGTGATGGGAACAAGGGCGAGGAGAACTAGACAGTTCAACTGCAAGGTGAATACAGGAGACTTAGAAGGATAAGGAGTTTCCATGAGCCCAGGCCTTTCTCAAGACATGTGAGGAGGCAGACCCAAATCCAGAGTAGCCGAGCTTAACTGGAAGCCGGTAGCTGACTGAACCCTTTTTTTGAAATAGAACTTTCTCGTGAATCGGATTTTCCTCCCACAAGTTCCCCCAAGAGATTCTGATGAAAAAACAATATTAACCAGCGCCCCCTCCCCACATTAGTAACCCGCGGACACAGAAGGCATATAGGTAAATGCTAAAGTAACATTGTCAGAGTCCCAGGCCTAACAACACCTCTACCACCCACCCCCGCCTGGGTTCCTCACCTTCACCTTGCCCGCGTAGGCGGAGCAAATACGTTGCCCGGCAACAACTCCAAACAACCCAGGAGACTAGGGAAGCTGCTGAGGAGGGAAGACTGTGCCGCCTGAAGACAGTTTGGGTATTCAGGGAAGACAGTCCCCCACCCCCATCCCCCAAAAGAGGAACTGTTCCGTATCAGAGCTTAAGGTGGCTCGTGTGCTGCTTCCAGGATGCCGGGATGGAGACAATGATGCGAGGAATGCCGTTGGAGTACCCTCCTAAACCGGAGCGCCTCAACGCCTACGGTAAGCGGCGGGGAGAGAGTGGAAGACGAGGATTACTGAGTGCCAAGGAGGAAGCCAGAGGGCAGAATGGGGATCTAGAGAACCTAGAGAGGGAGTAGTTGTGTGTCTGTCCCTGTTTTTGTCTCTGCCTCGGGCTCTGACCCTGCTTTCCCCATCTCTCTGGCACTGTCCTTGGGTATCCTGGACTCCGGGCTCAGAGCGCGAAGTAGTGGTGAACATGCTGAACTCGCTGTCCCGGAACCGGACTCTGCCCCAGATTGCGCCCCGCTGCGGGTGCGTGGACCCTCTTCCGGGCCGCCTGCCACTCCAAGGATACCAAAGCCCTTGCTCTGGCCGCCACTACTGTCTGCGCGGGATGGACTACTGCACCTCCGGAATGCCTAGCTCAGAACGCCGCCTGCGGCCTTTGTGTTCCCAGGAGCCGACTGTAAGGTTTGCAGGAATCCGCCCGCCTTGGTCGGGCTCCACCCACAAACGAGCCCCGCCCCCTAGAGTCCCGCCCAAGTCGTCTGCAGGCCCGCATCCTGCCTCATTCCTGCTCTGTTGTTTCCATGCCTGGCCCCCATTCGCTTCTGCCTGCTTACGGGGCCCCAGGGCACAAGCGAACAGCTAAGGCAGAGAACCAGCGTGAAGGTTACTCCCAAGTCCTCAGTCCCGTCCCTTCCGACCTTACTCAAGGTCAACCTGACAAGTGCTTGTTTTCTGGAGATCCTGCAAAACAGTTTAAGAGGATTCCAAACCCCTCACATCTGCCGCAACCTTTTCTCACATTCACGGGCCTGGTCCGTATTGGACCCTTGGGTCTGGAGACGGAGGTTCTAGCCTGGGCCTAAGAGCACCCTCAGCAGTGGGCAGGATCATCGTTGGGGCAAAGGTTACTGCTTTCCCACAGGGTTCGTGGCTTCCTTGAACCACGCTAAGCGTAGAGAGAAGCACAGCGTCCAGACTGCACCCAGCCACAGCCGACAATCCGAGTGGAGTTGGGGGGGTTCAAGGCTGTGACTGTTGAGAGCTGTGCAGAGGCGGTCCTGAACCCTGTCCCTAATCCTATGGCGATCTGCCCCTCCTCAAGCCGGAGTCCTTGTCAAAGACTGGGTCTTTCCCCTCAGAAGGGGTGTGGGTGTGGGAAAGTGTGTGAGCCTCCAGAAGGCCTAGAAACGCTAACTACTTCCCTGAGTTGAAGAAATCGCTGTCTCAAGGAAGCGGGGGGGGGGGGAGCATGCCATGCTGGATCCTCAAAGCAGCATCTGATCCTGCAGATTCCTGGCAGCAAAAGCCAGGCATTGGTGGGGAGAGAACTTCCTGGAGCCTTCTCAGAGGCCCTGCTATAGTGGAATTATGAAGGGCAAAGAAGGAACCATAGAACGGATACTGTACCCAGGGTCTTTGTCTGGAATACTGGGATACGAGGCTATCAAAAAAACGAAAAACCAACCTCTCCTTACTGTTTCTTCCTTCACTAGGAGTGTCTCGCCCTACGGTCACCGACCCGGAATGCAATGTGCAGTTACAACTCCCCCGCCGTCATATTACCCGTTTCCCAACCTTAGGTAAGTTTACCGCATTCACTTGCACGCTGGAGACAGTTCCCTTAATGGAGGTGGGGATGAGCCCGGAGACTAGCTGTTGAAGTGCTCAAACAGGAAAGTAACGCCAGGGGGCGCTAATGCTATGGGTAAGCCAATGGTTGCAACAGACCAGAAGACCCAAAGAGAGTTTGAGTTGGCAGCGGACTTAGAGTCAAGGGAATTGGGTTCAAGGTTTTATATAAAGGGTAAGAAGTCAAGGTTGGGAAATTATGTCTTTGGTATCATAAATAAACCAGTAGAACTTGAGGTCAGTATGTGGTCAGTGTCAGAGGTAAAATGTTCACGTAAGGTTAACACTGAGAATTGGAGTCAGGGTTCTCTCTCCTTGCAGATGGGACACAAGTCACTTCAAGAAAACTGGTGGTCCCCAGAGAAACAACTATGTTGTCCATCCTGAGTTTGTGTCTGAGACCTATCCTGTCTACCATTCCTGGTAAAGCTTTGGCCAGGCCAAGGAAGAGGGGTGGAGCAATAAACTCTTCACCACAAAGACTGCTTCCTGTGTCCTAGAAAGATCTGGATGTGCACTCTCCCTCTCCAATCATCTCAGGACACCTCCTAAGTGCCCTCCTGATAGAGCAGTAATCCAGCTGGGGTCCTCCCCATCATTGCAGAACTTGAGGCCAGCTAGACATTAGATCTGTCGACTTGAAGACCCTCTAGCCCACATTCCCCCCAAATACTCATGAACATAGATTCCTCTCCATATCAGATCCCAAGTGTCCATTACAACCTCCCAAATGCTCTCTGCTCAGAAACCACCCTGGACTGAGAGCTACAGGACATAATTTTGGAAAGACTCATGATCAAAAAACTTCAAATCGCAACAGATGGGTTTCTCTATCCTACACGGGAGCAACAGGTGGGGTATGCTGGGATCATCTTACCACCGCTTGCTTTAGGGGAAACAGTATGGCACAGCACACCCATCTCTGCACTCTGAAGTACAGGCTTTTTTTTTTTTTTTTTTGAGACAGGGTTTCTCTGTGTAACTATCCTGAAACTCTGTAGACCAGACTGGCCTCGAATATACCTGCCTCTGCCTCCCAAGTGCTGGCATGTGCCATCGCCGCCTGGTCAGCACAGGAATTTCTTTTGTTGTTGTTGTTGTTTGAGACAGGGTTTCTCTGTATTGTTTTGGAGGCTGTCCTGGCACTAGATCTGTAGACCAGGTTGTCCTCGAACTCACAGAAATCCACCTGCCTCTGCCTCCCGAGTGCTGGGAATAAAGCGTGCACCACCACTGCCTGGCCCAGCACAGGCATTTATAACTAAAAGTTGTCACAAAGAGGAGTTACACAGTAAAGGAAAGGGAGTGGGCATTGCAAAACCCTGAGCAGAAACGGGGACACTGCTGGGCTGGTCCTGTGAGGACTGAAGGCTTACAGTGTGGCTTGTTTGGGTCTGCAAGCTCCCACTATGGAGCCCTTGACGGGGTACTAGCGGACAGTGGGAGCACAGGTCCTCCCAGAATTGTGACAACCGTTTTCACACTTACTATGTGTGTTGTGTGGAGATGAGAGGCCAGCTGTGGGAGTCAGCTCTCTCCTTCCACGCTGTGGGTTCCGGGGGTCAAAGTTGGGGCAAATGCCTTTACCTGCTTACTGTCTCTCCAGCCCTGTTTTAGTTCTTTAAAGTATTCAGCTGCCCAAATCTAGAGGGAATGGATTCCCAAAGACTTCTTTGCTGTGCAAAGACACCATGACCACAGCATTTAATCGGGGCCTGCCTACAGTTTCAGAGGTTAGTCCTTAGCTTAGCATCACTGTGGGGAGCATGGCAGCAGGCGGGCATGATGTGGAGAAGCAGCTGATCTACAGTCAGAGAGACTCTGAGCCTGGAATGGGCTTTTCTGAAACCTCAAGGCCCTCGCCCTCTGACAAGGCCATGTCTTCTAATCCTTGTAAACCCTATCGTACAGTACCACGCTCAGGCACCCAAACATTCGACTAGATGAGCCTATGGGATCAATTCAAACCACCACAGCTACCTCTGCCCCTTCACCTTGCGGTGCTCTCAAACACATAACAAACTTAGTCTGGAGTTGCAAGAACCCCAACATTCAGCAACTCCACCTTCCTTCAGAACTACATCTCCCATAAGGCCTAGGGATCAGCCAGGCTAGCGACGGCCTGCTCATAACAGGGGCGGCGCCTGAGGCAGGCGGTGAAACCCAGAGGCACCAACCTAGAGGCGGGCCCAGAGGGCAGAGCTAGGGCGGAGAGAAGAAAGTCCGGGGAAGGCACTCGCCGCTTCAAGAGGCTGTGGGGGAGGGGCCGCGCGCCAGGGGTGGGGCCGGAGTCCCAGGCCTGAAGCCACATTGGACGGCTGGGCGTGGCCGAGTAGCCCAAGGGCGGGGCGCAGGAGGGGCTCGGCTGTGCCTAGCCTGGCAGCAACCCGCCGGGGCTGTGGCTGCTCAACTTCTGTTAGCGTGGAAAGAGAATCTGCCAGAAGATCCCTTCTTCCCTTCTTTCGCGTGGTGGTCACTGCGGTGAGTGAGCCCAGTAGGAGGCCTTTCAGGCCGAGGGGTGTTGAGCTGCTAAGAGCGCAGTTTCTGAACTTTCGTTGGTAGAGCGAGCCTGGACACCTGAGCCCCTTTAGGCCAGAGGGTCCCAGGCGGCGACGGATCCCTTGACCTTCTTCTGCCCCTTTGGGCCGCGTCGGGTGTGGCACCAAGGGTGGGTGTCAAGTATTCCAGGCGGTGTTGGCTCTGTCACTTGATCTTCGCGGATCCTGTCCCTGAGCAGGGGAGGGAGATGGGCAGGATCGAATTGCCTTTGACATTTCCACTGTGTCCGACAAAGGACTCTGCCTTAAGTGGTTCAGGTGGGCTGATCTGGGCCCTCGCCCTTAAACTGTAGGCTAGGGGCTGGCGACCAAGACTGAGGTTGAGTAAGAAGCCAGCGGGAAGAGGCTTCCTAGGCTGAGCCTATAGGAAGGCCGATCCCACACGCTAGCTTTAGCCTAGTGTTTGGCCAGATGGTAGGCGCCACAGATTACGGGGTCTTGAACGCCACTAAGAGTGGAGCCACAGAGTTCCTTCCCCACAGCTGCAATACCAGATGCCATTAAATTGCCCCTTTCGCACCCCTAAAACCTTCCTGATCTGCCTGCGGCAAGCAGAAGCTGCGACAGCCCTTGAAAAGACGGGCCCCACGGGTCCACACCCACCTCCCATTATGGAAGGTGGAGGCGAAATTTCGGATCCCAGGAAACTCGCTAATCGGGTGCCTGCTGACAAGCCCTGTTTGCCCATCTGTGAAAGGGTCACAACAGCTCACAGTGTTGTTGGTGCTGGATGCTGTGGGTTCCTTTGGAAGAACACAGTGAGGCCCCAACAAAGTGGGTGCTTAACTCTGTGGGCTCCTGTCCTTCATCAAAGAACCTAATAATTCCAAAAATTGGTTCTTGACACCCAAGTGGTGAAAGAGCTTTTGAGACAATCAAAGTGAGCTTTCCAGGCCCCTAGAGGCCATAAGGCCAACTTAGTATGCAAATGGGTCTTTCCCATTTAGAACCTGACCCTCTCCTTTTAACCCCTTAGTGCCCAGAATGTAGCCTTGGCTGTTGAATAAATGACAAAAGTGTACAATAGTCAGGCGTGGCCCCCACAGCCTTCTTTGGGTTCCACTTAGCTTTGCGAGAGGGTATCAGCAAAAGACACTGCTACCTACAGAGGCTAGAGCAACTCTCAATGTGTAGATAGAGAAGAAATAAGAGGCTATTATTCCAGACTAGGGTTGGGCAGTAACTGGGGAGATTGAAGTTGTAGGGAGGGATAAAAATGGTAATCCTAGCAGAGGCAGAGGCAGGCAGACTTCAAAGGCCAACCTAGTCTACAAAGAGAGTTCCAGAACATCCAGGGCTGTTACACAGGGAAACCCTGTCTCAAACAAACAAACAAACAAAGATAAAAGAATGATGCTAAGTATTGTATTCTAGGACCAAAATTCTGATCTACATCTCACTTCCTTTTTTCTAAGATTCATTTATGTTTATTTTATGTGTATGGATATTTGCCTGAGTGGCTGTACACCATATATGTGCCTGGTGTCTGCAGAAGCCAGAAAGGGGCTATGGATCCCCTGGGACTGGGGTTACAGACAGTTGTGAGCAGCCATGTGGGTGTTAGGATTCGAACCCCAGGTCCTCTGGAAGTTAAGTGCGCTTAACTGCTGAGCCATCTCTCCAGCCTCCACACCTGGCATTCTTGACAGATTCTGCATGGAAGAGCTGGACAAGTAGAAGAGCCTGAGTGAGTAGCTTTTCACCTTAGAAGTCACTGGAGACAGACAGACAGACAGACAGACAGACACTGGCATCTGGGAAGCAACTAATTACCATCTGTCAGTCGTGTGTGTGTGTGTGTGTGTGTGTGTGTGTGTGTGTGTTGTCTTCCCCCCTTCCCCCAGGAGTTAGGAAACCCACTGACTGGCAGTGTGTCTGCCTGTGTTTGCCTGTGGCAGGTGCTGTTTCTTTGTTGGACTCTGCCCCTGAGGGTTGAGACAGGAGGAGTTACTGGCTTTTAGCAGAAGGTTGAAACAAACTTTCCACCAAGCCTAAGTTTTCAGACATATTTCAACGTTCATCATACCTTGTGTGAACATTTATATGTGTGGTGCTGGGCATCTGTTCCCTGGTGAGCTGAGGAGAGGTTATCAGGCTAGATGACTGAAATCTACCAAAGCAGGTGACTTGAGGGTTTGGGTTAGGGAATGAACTTGGTTGTCTTGAGACAGGCCTGGCCAGAATTGGAATCAGAAAAGGAGCTGAGGTCAGATGTGGTTGTGTGTGTTTGTATGTTTGCAATGCCAGCTTTCCAGAGGTTAGAGCAGGACAATCACAAAGTCAGGGCCACTTATCTGGGCTGCATAGAAATGCAGCTGGAGCCATATCGTGTCTGGGGCTTTGACTGCAAGGCTCACAGCTTCTCTCCTGGGAGCAGACAAGAAAGAAGAGCAGAGAAATGGATTTACTTGATGGTTAGTGGTTTAGAACCAGGGAGCCTTTGGGGCAAAGGGAGAGAGCAGAGAAGCAAGATTCTTCACCCAGCTCCGGCCCCAGCACTAGTGTTGGACCCTCGTACTGCTGCCCTCAAAACCAGTCTCCGAGACTGAACGCGGCTTTCCGCGCTGTCTTTAATTTCCACATAGCTGCCTAGTTGGACTCAGGATCAAGTTCCATGACTGAGGTGACCTTTCCCTCTTGTCCTTGACTCTCTAGAGGCCGGGAAGCCAGCTACTGACTGCCCTGTTAAAGGTCTCAAGGAACTGGCTGGACCACTCGCCTTGCTTACCATGGCCTTACATGTGGTGGAGTGGTCCCTCTTTTAACCAGAGCTTCTCCTCCTCCGGGGGCCTCCGCTTATGCTGCGGTCCTGGACAGTGCCTTGCTTCTCGGGTTTGTTTTTCCACTGGGAAAGGGCGGAAGCATGCTCTCGCATTCACATGGTTCTTTCCATTCACAGAGTTCTCACCAGCTTGGCAAGCAGTGGGGCCCGGGAGAAAGGAGGGCAAGACACCGATTGTCCCGGACAAGAGCCTGCCTTTGCCATTTGTCAAGCTCTGGGGCCTCGCTTCTAGGCTGCAGAAATGGAAATACCGTGGGAGAGAAAGCTCAGTGTCCTTTCTGTCCCCTTTGCAGGCCATATTCAGATGGACTTGGTGTGGTGGTCCCTTCCTTAGCTGGGGACTAATGCCCCAGAACCTTCGGGAGAAGAGCCAGGTGTACCCCCGACACCGATCTGGTAGCAAAGCAGGCGCCAAAAACCTCAAAGCCATCCCAGCAGCAACCATGTACACTTTCCTGCCTGACAATTTTTCACCTGCCAAGCCCAAGCCCTCCAAAGATCTGAGGCCTCTGCTGGGCTCGGCGGTATTGGGACTGATGCTGGTGCTGGCCGCAGTTGTGGCCTGGTGCTACTACAGCGCCTCGCTGCGCAAAGCCGAACGCTTGCGCGCAGAGCTGCTGGACCTGAACCGTGGCGGCTTCTCCATCCGGAACCAGAAAGGTGAGCAAGTCTTCCGCTTGGCCTTCCGTTCGGGTGCTCTGGACCTTGACTCCTGCAGCCGTGAGGGTTCCCTACTTGGCTGCTCCCGAACAGCCGATGGGCGCCCGTTGCACTTCTTCATCCAGACTGTGCGACCCAAGGACACTGTCATGTGCTACCGCGTGCGCTGGGAGGAAACTGCACCCGGGCGTGCCGTGGAGCACGCCATGTTTCTGGGAGATGCTGCGGCGCACTGGTATGGCGGCGCAGAGATGAGGACGCAACACTGGCCTATCCGCCTGGATGGCCAGCAGGAGCCGCAGCCATTTGTCACGAGCGACGTCTACTCTTCTGATGCGGCATTCGGGGGCATCCTCGAGCGCTACTGGCTCTCTTCACGCGCGGCCGCCATCAAAGTCAATGATTCAGTGCCCTTCCACCTGGGCTGGAACAGCACTGAGCGTTCTATGCGGCTGCAGGCTCGCTACCACGACACATCTTACAAGCCACCTGCTGGCGGAACCGCAGCGCCGGAACTCAGCTATCGCGTGTGCGTGGGCTCAGATGTTACCTCCATCCACAAGTACATGGTTCGGCGTTACTTCAACAAGCCATCCAGGGTACCAGCATCAGAGGCCTTCAGAGACCCCATTTGGTCCACGTGGGCGCTCTATGGGCGCGCCGTGGACCAGAACAAGGTGCTGCAGTTCGCCCAGCAGATCCGCCAGCACCGCTTCAACAGCAGCCACCTGGAAATCGACGACATGTACACACCTGCCTATGGCGACTTCGATTTCGACGAGGGCAAGTTCCCCAATGCCACTGACATGTTCCGCAGCCTGCGAGAGGCTGGCTTCCGCGTCACACTCTGGGTGCATCCGTTTGTCAACTACAACTCGTCGCGCTTCGGCGAGGGCGTGGAGCGTGAGCTGTTCGTGCGCGAGCCCACGGGCCGGCTGCCCGCGCTGGTGCGCTGGTGGAACGGCATTGGCGCGGTGCTGGACTTCACGCGCCCAGAGGCCCGAGACTGGTTCCAGGGACAGCTACGGCGCCTGCGCTCACGCTACAACGTGGCCTCCTTTAAGTTCGACGCTGGTGAGGTCAGCTACCTGCCCCGGGACTTCAGCACCTACAGGCCTCTGTCCGACCCCAGTGTGTGGAGCCGGCGTTACACCGAGATGGCGCTGCCCTTCTTCTCGCTGGCCGAGGTCCGTGTCGGGTACCAGTCACAGAACATCTCCTGCTTCTTCCGCCTGGTGGACCGCGACTCGGTATGGGGCTACGATCTGGGACTGCGCTCTCTCATCCCTGCTGTGCTCACGGTCAGTATGCTGGGCTATCCGTTCATCCTGCCCGATATGGTGGGTGGCAACGCGGTGCCAGAGCGCACAGTCGGCCGCCAAGATGGGCCGGGGCCGGAGCGCGAGCTCTACGTGCGCTGGCTGGAGGTTGCGGCCTTCATGCCTGCCATGCAGTTTTCAATCCCGCCCTGGCAGTACGACGCAGAAGTGGTAGCCATCGCACACAAGTTCGCCGCCCTGCGCGCCTCGCTAGTGGCGCCACTGCTGCTTGAGCTCGCTGGTGAGGTCACCGACACTGGCGACCCCATCGTGCGCCCCCTGTGGTGGATCGCACCGGGGGATGAAACGGCTCACCGCATCGACTCGCAGTTCCTCATCGGGGATACGCTGCTGGTGGCGCCGGTGCTGGAGCCTGGTAAGCAGGAGCGCGATGTCTATTTGCCTGCCGGCAAGTGGCGCAGCTACAAGGGTGAACTTTTTGACAAGACGCCGGTCCTGCTCACGGACTACCCTGTCGACCTGGATGAGGTCGCCTATTTCACCTGGGCGTCCTGACCCACTTTTAGACCTAGGAATCCGACAGTCCTAACCCCAGCCTTCATGCAGAGTTTTAATCCTTTATCACACCCTCAGGAAGTCCCCTCCTCTGTATCGCCTAGGAAACGGGAACTGACTAAAAAGTGCTCCAGCCAACGGCTGTAGGTGAAACCTGGAAGGGAAGTACGGATACCACCTCCTGGCCCCGAGCACAGTCCTAACAGTGCCCCACCCTCACCCCCATCCCGGACATTCTCCCCAGTCTTCACAAACCTCTTCCCTGGGTTGGAGGGCCGGGAACTCAGGACAAGTCTGTTCTTTCTGTTATACAGGGTCTGATTTTTAAAAGCACACAGAGACATCTCTTCTCCCCCGGCCTTTGTAGCCATCTTTGTCCTCTAAGGTGAGGAACCGATTCTCCAAAAGTTCCCAAACAGTTTTCTACCATGTTATTTAGTCCCAGCACTTAGGAGGCAGAGGCAGGCGGATCTCTGAGTTCAAGGCCATTCTGGCCTACAGAGTGAGTTCCAGGACAGCCAGGGCTACACAGAGAAACCCTGTCTTGAGAAAAAAGAAAGGAAGGAAGGAAGAAAGAAAGAAAGAAAGAAAGAAAGAAAGAAAGAAGGAAAGAAAGAAAGAAGGAAAGAAAGAAAGAGTACCCTTGGTGACAGCAGCTAGGCCCTCAGGTTCCCAGCACACCTGAACAGTAATTGACCTGATCCTATTCCATCTGGGGAAGAAAAGATCCAGATGTTTGGTTTGGCCAGCTGACAAGGGAGCAAAAGCTCTTCCCAGGCAGTAGGAGAGCTGGGCTCAGCCTGGACTAATTGTCTGTGAGGAGACTCCTAACACTGCACTAACGTATCGGTGTGTACACCAGATTCAACCTTGGACCCAGTCCTGGGCCACAAGTGCCTAGTGGGCAGACTTGCAGGGCCATGCAGGCTGGACTCTGCCTTAATTCAAGAACCTGTGTCAGTGTGTGTATGTGTGTGTGTGTGTGTGTGTGTGTGTGTGTGTACATACTTGTATCTGAGAGAGAGAGGAGAGAGGAGAGGAGAGAGAGAGAGAGAGAGAGAGGTGCCCGCCATGGTCTCTGAATCCACAGAATGAACAGACTATCCCTGAGGCTGGACTAGCCTAGAGGAGGCAGATGCAGGAGCAAACTCAAGGCTTCGGCTGTTGAGCTAGTCCTTCCCAGGTGCTTTTCCCAGGAGGTTGGCAGCACCAGGGTAAGAGTTCAAAACCGCCGGGCAGTGGTGGCGCACTCCTTTAATCCCAGCAGCAGGGAGGCAGAGGCAGGACGATCTCTGTGAGTTCGAGACCAGCCTGATCTACAAAAGCTAGTTCCAGGACAGCCTCCAAAGCCACAGAGAAACCCTGTCTCAAAAAACCAAAACAACAACAACAAAAAAGTTCAAAACCCTAGAGCTGGACCGAGGAGGAATTTCCTTCCTGGCAAGCCTGACAACCTGAGTTTTATCCCAAGGTCATATTGTAAGAGGAGAGCACTGTAGCCCTTTAAGATTACTTAGCACACATGCTCAAGTGTGACCTAAAAGGGAACCATATTCTCATCCCAGCAGTGATGTGTTTGGCACATGAGTGACATTACACACTGATACCTGCCAACACATGTGTCCGAGGAGGCCTTTCATCTCAGGAATTCTCCTGTTGGCTTTTTTTTTTTTTTTTTTGGTTTTTTGTTTTTTGATTTTTGGGTTTTTTTTTTTTTTTGGTTTTTACCAGACAGGGTTTCTCTGTATTGTTTTGGAGGCTATCGGTCCAGCCTGGCCTTGAACTCACAGAGATCCGCCTGCCTCTGCCTCCCGAGTGCTGGGATTAAAGGTGTGCGCCACCAACGCCCGGCGGAATTCTGTTGTGATCAGCTCCAGCCAGGGTGAGTTTTTCCTGACTCAGACTATGGCTGGTGGAGCGGCTTGCCAGAGACGTGGGCGAGGTAGAGCTCAGTTTCCCTCAGTGACTCTCACAACAAACCCTTCACTCTCTCTGGGTGAAAAGCGCCAAGCTGCAGGGTTGCCACAGATGCCAGTCTACAGTGCCAATTCTTTTGCTGGCAGTGTTGAAGATAGAACCCAGGGCCCCAAGCATACTAAGCAAGCACTCCTCCCGTGAGCTATATCCTCAGTCTTCATTTGTCAATCATCTGGGTAACCTTGAGTAAGCCGCTTAACCCCACTGAGCCTCAGTTTTTTTTTCTATGTAAAAGTGATGATGCCTACCTCCAAGGTAATTTTAATAATGAGCACAGATATATGGAAAGTACCTGGCACAAAGTAGGTGCTCAATAAAAGATAGCTGTTGTAGCATTTGTGTTTTCTTGCTTAAAAACAAGGGCTCTGGGATTTTTGAAAGACTCACTCATTTTATGCATATGAGTGCTTTGCCTGTGTGTACATGCATGCCTGGTGCTTGTGGAGATCAGAAAGGGGCAGTGGATAGTTGTGAGCCATCATGTGGGTGCTGGGAATAGAACCCAGGTTCTCTGTAAGAGCAACAAATGTTCTTAACTGCTGAACCATCTTTCCAGCCCCTTCTGGCCTTGTCCTGTCCTCCCTCCCTACCAGTACCTCTTGTGCAGTCCAAATTTGTCTTTTCCTGTACATTGGATGTGGCAAGCCTAACGTTGCTCCAGAAGGCCTCCAGCAGCCTTGCGTTCCCTGCTCCTAGGCTGTTGTGTATGTGTTAATGGGGACGGTATACAGCAATCTGGAACCCTTTTCTCTGGAGGTAACGGGAGGACCCGAATGGCCACTGAAGGGGCTTCAGGATGGGTTAGGAATGGGTTAAGCTTTAGCCAAGCAGGTTTCTAAGAGAATTTTGGCTGCCGTCCCCCCATTACTGAGTGAAGTGTATCTGATTCTTGTAAGCATTCTGCTAGTTCTCCTCAACAAGCACCCAGGACCCTTCTCTTTCCCCGAATCCAGGGAGAGACTGACAGACCTCTCCATCCTCTGGCCACTGTTCAACAAAGACTTAAAGGGCGATTTGCTAAAAGCACTGATTCTCCACTTGGCCCTCCAGGTGCACAATGAGTTAACTAAAAAGCAGAACAAAAGCTTGGTATGCAGCCTCGATTTTGCACCTGTTTCCTTTGCACCAAGCCATTCTCTTACCATCTGGTGGATTCCAGGAACAGAGCCCCCAGAAAAACATCTGTGATAAGGATCAAAACTGCCCCTACCCGGGAGGCAACTGAACAAGGCCTGCCAGACCAACCCTGAGATAATGATCAACCAGGCCACAGTCGAACTCTTGGTCTGGATTCTGTCCCTTTTCTACGGAATCTGGAAGCTACTGTGAGTGCCTCTAAGGCCAGATCTGACGACATTGCCCCCTTTGTCTTCCTAGTACGTCATGCTAACTGAAATTCCTTTCCTGCTTTTCACTGTTTCTCTGTTTTGGAGTCAGATTTGCCAGGATCCCTAGAATCTGACCTAGCGACATTCTCTACTTCAGACCTTATCAGCCACATTTCATTGATAGACTTCAAATCCAACCCACACAGCTCCTACAGCCACACCACCCTGAACAGGTCTGATCTTGTCCAACCCACACAAGAGTCAAGGGGAGCTATCCAGAAGTTCAGTCATGTCCCTTGTGGGATCGGTGGGTGATCCAAGCTGTGATTGGTGCTCAGGTCTTCGAAGATCTGGTCCTTCTGATGCCTGTTTCACCCCTGCACTCAGGCACATGGGAAAGCATTTAAGAAACACTGCCTCAGCCGGGCGTTGGTGGCGCACGCCTTTAATCCCAGCACTCGGGAGGCAGAGGCAGGTGCATCTTTGTGAGTTCGAGACCAGCCTGGACTACCAAGCGAGTTCCAGGACAACCTCCAAAGCCACAGAGAAACCCTGTCTCGAAAAACCAAAAAAAAAAAAAAAAAAAAAAAAAAAACACTGCCTCTGGGCTGGAGAGATGGCTCAGCGGTTAAGAGCACTGACTGTTCTTCCAGAGGTCCTGAGTTCAATTCCCAGCAACCACATGGTGGCTCACAACCACCTTGAATGAGATCTGGTGCCCTCTACTGGCATGCATAAGATTGTATACATAATAAATAAATAAAATATTAAAAAAAAAAAAAGAAACACTGCCTCCAGCCGGGCGTTGGTGGCGCACACCTTTAATCCCAGCACTCGGGAGGCAGAGGCAGGTGGATCTCTGTGAGTTCGAGTCCAGGCTGGACCGACAGCCTCCAAAACAGAGAAACCCTGTCTCGTACTCGTAAAACCAAAAAAAAAAAAAGAAACACTGCCTCCTATCCTGGGAACAACTGTACAGCTGACCCTTGCCAGGAGAGGTCTGCTCAGACTTAGCCTTGAAGGAAAATGCAGTGGCCACTGGGTGGTTTCCTTTCCTTCCATTGTTTGGCTCCAAGGGTTTCTGCCGACAACCCCCACAGGGTACACCCTAGCTCCCAGGCACAGCCTGTTTTTTAATCTTGAAGCTAATCATTTACTTCAGGGAGCCCAGGGATCTTTCCAGCAGCTTGATAAGAGGGGAGCTATTCAGCTTTGGGTAGGAAGCCCTAAGGGGCATTGGAGGAGATGTGGGAACCCTCAGGGGAGGCCCTGTCCCTGGGTGTGCCAGTCTAGAGGGAACGGAAAATTATGCCCTTGTACTCCAGCTTACACAACAGCGAGTGCAATGAGGGTTATAGTCTGAGTTCTGACCACACCTACATCACGGCCTCATGGGGGCAGCAGGAGGAAGCCAGCACCACCCTCCAGCCCTCGAGTTAGTAAGAAATTGGGTCAGACCATACGCTAAGATGACTGAAGAGTTCAGCCTGGTCGACGTGAGGGCTATGCCATGCATGGTCCCCACACCTGCACAAAAATTTCTATTATGTGTCATTCCTTAAGGTCTTCAATTCAGCAAACTGGGCCTTCTGTGGAGACATAAGTCATTGTTCTCATGATCAAGGCATTTGATTTCCTAGGAAAGGAAACTTATGCCTGCCTTCCTTGTAGGGTTAAGTCATCAGTTGCTGCTTCACCCTGGGTAGAGATGGGATTGAGGAACACTGGCAGGAAGTAGGATGGGTGGTCATCGGGGAAAGCTTCAGGAGCAGCAGATCTGGACTTTGGAAGGCACCAAATTGAAGAAGACATTGAAGCTTGCCCACCTCTCTGCCCTGTGATAGGTGAAACCACTTCTAAAATCAAGGAGGGAGGCTACCGTCCACTGCCGAGGTATTTATCCAGTCACCTAGCAGATGTCCACCCTGCAGGCCCCGAGAAAAGGCGTGTCACTCCATGAGCGTTCTCTGTGCTTGAGATATGAAAAGAGATGATGGTCACTTTCTAACCCTCACAGTCTCTATGGACCAGATCCTAGATGGTTCGGTTTGCTCCGGTCCAGAGGATTTAGTCTGTTTCACTTAGGACGTACACTTCCTCTTCCCTTTCCGTTCACTTCCTCTTCCCTTTCCGTTCACTTCCTCTTCCCTTTCCAGGGCCCATGATTAGCTTTTTCGTCCTACTAAGGTGTTTTTTGGTTTGGTTTGGTTGGTTGGTTGGTTGGTTGGTTGGTTGGTTGTTTGGTTGATTTTTCAAGACAGGGTTTCTCTGTATAGCTTTGGCTGTCCCAAAACTCTCTCTGTGGCCCTGGACTCACAGAGATCCACCTGACTCTGTCTCCTGAGTGCTGGGGTTAAAGGTGTGGTCACCACCTCCTGGTCCATCCTACTATGTTTAAAGTCTGCTGTTAGGAGCCTCACTAATTTGTGCCCTAACCCTTACTAGGGATGATTCTGCCTAGGCCCTACATTTTCCAGACATTACTCTGTCTCAAACACAGTCTCATGCAGCCCAGACAGGTCTCAGATGCACTACAGAATGGCTTTGACCTAACTCCCACTCCTTATTGCCCTGCCTCCACCGTCAATACATTGATTATTTTTTTTCTGAGACAGGGTACCTCTGTGTAGCTTTGTAGACCAGGCTAGCCTTGAACTCACAGAGATCCGCCTGCCTCTGCCTCCTGAGTGCTGGGATTAAGGGTGTGTGGCACTGCTACTTGTCACAGTTGACTATTTTTAATTTTTTTAATTTTTATTTTTTTATTTTTTATTTTTGGTTTTTCGAGACAGGGTTTCTCTGTGGCTTTGGAGGCTGTCCTGGAACTGGCTTGGTAGTCCAGGCTGGTCTCGAACTCACAGAGATCCGCCTGCCTCTGCCTCCCGAGTGCTGGGATTAAAGGCGTGCGCCACCAACGCCTGGCTTTTTTTCGGTTTTTACCAGACAGGGTTTCTCTGTATTGTTTTGGAGGCTGTCAATCCAGCCCGGCCTCGAACTCACAAAGATCCGCCTGCCTCTGCCTCCCGAGTGCTGGGATTAAAGGCTTGCGCCACCACCACCTGGCAGCTGACTATTTTTAAAGTCAGGTCCTCGTACTGTGCCACAAGCTGACCTCAAACTCACTATTCAGTCTGTGTTAGCCTTGAAATTGAAGTAATTCTGCCTCAGCCTTCCAAGTGCTGGTATTAGAGTCATGAGCCTCTGTATCTGATTTAAAATATTTTAAGTCTTAATATTTTAAAATTTTATTTATTTATTATGTATACAGGGTTCTGTCTGTATGTATCCCTGCACACCAGAAGAGGGCACCAGATCTCATTACAGATGGTTGTGAACCACCATGTGGCTGCTGGGAATTGAACTCAGGTCCTCTGGAAGAGCAGCCAGTGCTCTTAACCAGTGAGTCATCTCTCCAGCCCTAGTCTTAATATTGTTAAGACTTAATATTTTAAAGACTGAACATATTTTAAAGGAATAAGCAAAAGAAATGTAAGGCTATACATTGGAAACTATCTGTCTAAGCCTGCTGTTGAAAGTCATGAAAGATAACATAGAAATGAAAACATGACCATAAATTGTAATGTATACTACTGTGAAAATGGTAATACTCTATTAGCCTACAGATTCAGTATAATACCTACCAAAATCCCAGCTTAATTCTCTGTGGAAATCAACAAGCCGAAATAAAATTCATAGTGAGCCAGGTGTGGTTGCATACACCTCACCCAGTACTTGAGAGGCAGAGACAAGTGGATCTCTGTGAGGTCAAGGCCAACCTAGTGAGTTCCAGAACAGCCAGAGCTGCAAAGTGATACCCTGTATCAAAAGTGAATAAATAGATAAAATTCACAAGGAAACCTAAGGGGCCAGAATAGCCAGGACAATCTTGAAAGAGAACAAAGTTGAAAGACTCACACTTTTCAATTTTATACTATTACCTATAATAATAAAGATAATGGGGGTTGGAGAGATGGCTTAGAGGTTAAGAGCATTGACTGTTCTCC